AAATGACTTCAAGTGAACATATGTTAATAAAAAACTTAGAACCGTCAAAACCATCAATATCTTATACCCTAACCATATACACCATAAACCATATGTACCTTATACCTTATACCCTAACCATATATTTTATATCCTAAACAACGAACCGTCAAAGATTACTTATCAAGTTTAGTATAAATTGTTGTAACTAATGGTTAATTTATTTATTAGCCCATAAAAAATTACTTACATATATACATATTAGCCTTCAAAGCATATAAGAATAATTTTAACTAGTCATGTCGTCCATATAAAAGTTAAAGATTCATATTTCAAAAGCTAAAATTATGAAAAACCAAAAAATTGAAAACACCAAATCTGTTTCCTTCTTTCTTTTCACAAAAATATTAAAATTTCTCCTTCTTTCTCCTTCCATATATTAGAAAAACTCAATTTTCCCTCCTCTTTCTCTTCCATAAAATTGAAAGAACCAAATTACCCTCTTCTTTCCTTCCACAAAAAGTTGAAAAGTCAAAAGTTTCCCTCCTTATTTCTTTTTCATAATCAAAAGAATCAAACTTTCCCACTTCTTTCTCTTCCCACATATCAAAACAACCAAAATTCCCACTTGTTTCTTTTCTAAAAAATTCAAATAACCAAATTTCCCTCTTCTTTCTCTTCCCAAAAACTTGAATACACCAAAATTTCCCTCTTCTTTTAAAAATATCAAATTACCAAATGCATTACTTTACTTTATTTATATTTAATTGATAATTTTATTGAATAGTTAAATTAACCAAAATTTTAATTTATATATTATATTAATATTGTCATGATCTCAAGTGACCTTCAAGTTTCAATTTTTGTAATTTTCTTAAAATACATATTATCAAGTGAGTTTCATATTTTTAAAATTTCTTATACGAAATGAAAAAATAATTTTACTTAAGTTTAGAATGAAAAACTTTATTTTGAAAAACTATGTATTGTATATTTTTATAATTATTCAAGTGGATTAGATGAAATTCGGGTTGAGTCGGTCGGGTTACGGGTTAGTCGGGTTCGGGTCAATCGGGTTCGGGTTAATCGGGTTGCGGGTCAATCGGGTTCGGGTTAATCGGGTTGCGGGTTAGTCGGGTTGCGGGTTAGTTGGGTTGCGGGTCAATCGGGTTGCGGGTCGGGCGGGTTACGGGTTGTCGACTTTTAGTCAATTCAGGTTGCGGTCGGGTTGCTGGTCGGGTTGATCGGACGGGTTAATCGGGTCGGGTTATGTTTTGACACCTATATCTTTAGGGATGAATAAGTCTATTAAACAGGGTTTCGGGCGGAAAATCTATGGGGAAATTTTTGCCAATTTCCAAAGGGGTACCATCACCGATTTCTGCCGATTTTATGGAAAGTCCATTTTCCTGGGATTTTGAATGCGATGGATCACAGATTCGGCCTTAGGGTACTCTCCACCAACGATGATGTCTAGCAATTGCTGATTTGGTCGGAAATTTGGTCGAATTTTTCCGGAGGGCATTTTCGTAATTTTTAGGCGCTTATTTAGAAAGGCCATTTTCCTTCTATTTTGAAGGGTGCAGATCACGGATTCAGCCTGAGGCTATTCTTTAGGGATGAATAAGTCTATTAAACAGGGTTTCGGACGGAAAATCTCCGGGGAAATTTCTGCGAGTTTCCAAAGGGGTACTATCACCGATTTCGGGCGATTTTATGGAAAGTCCATTTTCCTTGGATTTTTAATGCGATGGATCACAGATTCGGCCTTAGCATACTCTCCACCAACGATGATGTCTAGCAATTGCTGATTTGGTCGGAAATTTGTTCGAATTTTTTCGGAGGGCATTTTCGTAATTTTTAGGCGCTTATTTAGAAAGGCCATTTTCCTTCTATTTTGAAGGGTGCAGATCACGGATTCAGTCTGAGGCTATTCTTTAGGGATGAATAAGTCTATTAAACAGGGTTTCGGGCGGAAAATTTCCGGGGAAATTTTTGCCAGTTTCCAAAGGGGTACCATTACCGATTTCGGGCGATTTTATGGAAAGTCCATTTTCCTTGGATTTTGAATGCGATGGATCACAGATTCGGCCTTAGGGAACTCTCCACCAACGATGAAGTCTAGCAATTGCCCATTTGGTCGGAAATTTGGTCGAATTTTTCTGGAGGGCATTTTCGTAATTTTTAGGCGCTTTTTTCGAAAGGTCATTTTCCTTCGATTTTGAAGGGTGGAGATCACAGATTCAGCCTGAGGCTATTCTTTAGGGATGAATAAGTCTATTAAACAGGGTTTCGGGCGGAAAATTTCCGGGGCAATTTTTGCCAGTTTCCAAAGGGGTACCATCACCAATTTCCGGCGATTTTATGGAAAGTCCATTTTTCTTGGATTTTGAATGCGATGGATCACAGATTCGGCCTTAGGGTACTCTCCACCAACGATGATGTCTAGCAATGGCCGATTTGGTCGGAAATTTGGTCAAATTTTTCCTGAGGTCATTTTCGTAATTTTTAGGCGCTTTTTTCGAAGGCCATTTTCCTTCGATTTTGAAGGGTGCAGATCACGGATTCAGACTGAGGCTATTCTTTAGGGATGAATAAGTCTATTAAACAGGGTTTCGGGCGGAAAATCTCTGGGACAATTTTTGCCAGTTTCCATAGGGGTACCATCACCCATTTCGTGCGATTTTATGGAAAGTCCACTTTCCTTGGATTTTGAATGCGATGGATCACAGATTCGGCCTTATGGTACTCTCCACCAACGATGAAGTCTAGCAATGGCTGATTGGGTCGGAAATTTTTTCGAATTTTTCCGGAGAGCATTTTCGTAATTTTTATGCGCTTTTTTCGAAAGACCATTTTCCTTCGATTTTGAAGGGTAAAGATTACGGATTCAGCCTGAGGCCATTCTTTAGGGATGAATAAGTCTATTAAACAAGGTTTCGGGCGGAAAATCTCCGGGGCAATTTTCGCCAGTTTCCAAAGGGGTACCATTACAGATTTCTGGCGATTTTATGGAAAGTCCATTTTCCTTGGAATTTTAATGCGATGGATCTCATATTCGGCCTTAGGGTACTCTCCACCAACGATGAAGTCTAAGAATGGCCGATTTGATTGGAAATTTGGTCGAATTTTTCCGGAGGGCATTTTCGTAATTTTTCTTCGCTTTTTTCGAAAGGCAATTTTCCTTCGATTTTGAAGGGTGCAGATCACGGATTCAGCCTGAGGCTATTCTTTAGGGATGAATAAGTCTATTAAACAGGGTTTCGGGCGGAAAATCTATGGGCCAATTTTTGCCAGTTTCCAAAGGGGTACCATCACCGATTTCGGGCGATTTTATGGAAAGTCCATTTTCCTTGGATTTTGAATGCGATGGATCACAGATTCGGCCTTAGGGTACTCTCCACCAACGATGAAGTCTAGCAATTGCCGATTTGGTAGGAAATTTGGTCAAATTTTTCCGGAGGGCATTTTCGTAATTTTTAGGCGCTTTTTTCGAAAGGTCTTTTTCCCTCGATTTTGAAGGGTACAGATCACGGATTCAGCCTGAGGCTATTCTTTAGGGATGAATAAGTCTATTAAACAGGGTTTCGGGCGGAAAATCTCCGGGGCAATTTTTGCTAGTTTCCAAAGGGGTACCATCACCGATTTCAGGCGATTTTATGGAAAGTCCATTTTCCTTGGATTTTGAATGCGATGGATCACAGATTCGGCATTAGGGTACTCTCCACTAACGATTAAGTCTAGCAATGGCCGATTTGGTCGGAAATTTGGTCGAATTTATTTGGAGGGCATTTTCGTAATTTTTAGGTGCTTTTTTCGAAAGGCCATTTCCTTCGATTTTGAAGGGTGCAGATCACGGATTCAGCCTGAGGCTATTCTTTTGGGATGAATAAGTCTATTAAACAGGGTTTCAGGCGGAAAATCTCCGGGGCAATTTTTGCCAGTTTCCAAAGGGGTACCATCACCGATTTCGGGCGATTTTATGGAAAGTCCATTTTCCTTGGATTTTGAATGCGATGGATCACAGATTCGGCCTATTGGTACTCTCCACCAACGATGAAGTCTAGCAATGGCTGATTGGGTTGGAAATTTTGTCGAATTTTTCCGGAGGGCATTTTCGTAATTTTTATGCGCTTTTTTCGAAAGACCATTTTCCTTCGATTTTGAAGGGTGCAGATTACGGATTCAGCCTGAGGCCATTCTTTAGGGATGAATAAGTCTATTAAACAGGGTTTCGGGCGGAAAATCTCCGGGGCAATTTTCGCCAGTTTCCAAAGGGGTACCATTACAGATTTCGGGCGATTTTATGGAAAGTCCATTTTCCTTGGATTTTTAATGCGATGGATCTCATATTCGGCCTTAGGGTACTCTCCACCAACGATGAAGTCTAGCAATGGCCGATTTGGTTGGAAATTTGGTCGAATTTTTCCGGAGGGCATTTTCGTAATTTTTATTCGCTTTTTTCGAAAGGCCATTTTCCTTCGATTTTGAAGGGTGCAGATCACGGATTCAGCCTGAGGCTATTCTTTAGGGATGAATAAGTCTATTAAACAGGGTTTCGGATGGAAAATCTCCGGGGCAATTTTTGCCAGTTTCCAAAGGGGTACCATCACCGATTTCGGGCGATTTTATGGAAAGTCTATTGTCCTTGGATTTTGAATGCGATGGATCCCAGATTCGGCCTTATGGTACTCTCCACCAACGATGAAGTCTAGCAATTGCCGATTTGGTCGGAAATTTGGTCGAATTTTTCCGGAGGGCATTTTCGTAATTTTTAGGCGCATTTTTCGAAAGGCCATTTACCTTCGATTTTGAAGGGTGCAGATCACGGATTCAGCCTGAGGCTATTCTTTAGGGATGAATAAGTCTATTAAACAAGGTTTCGGGCGGAAAATCTCCGGGCAATTTTTGCCAGTTTCCAAAGGGGTACCATCACCGATTTCGGGCAATTTTATGGAAAGTCCATTTTCCTTGGATTTTGATTGTGATGGATCACAGATTCGGCCTTAGGGTACTCTCCTTAGGAATGAATAAGTCTATTAAACACCGATTCGTGCGGAATATTTCCGGGGCCATTTTGGCAGATTCCAACGGGGTACCATCACCATTTTTGGAAATGTCGTTTTCCTTGAATTTTGAAGGCGACAGATCACATATTCGTTCTTAGGGTACACTCTACCAATGATGAATTCTACTAATCGCCGATTTGGGCAGAAATTTGGTCGAACTTTTTCGGGGGGCGTTTTCATAATTTTTCGGCCATATTTTCGAAAGACCGTTTTGCTTGGATTTTGAAGGCTACGGATCACGAATTCAGCCTGAGGCTATTCTTTCGGGATGAATAAGTCTATTAAACACTAATTCGTGCGGATATTTCCGGGGCCATTTTTGGAAGATTCCAAAGGGGTACCATCACCGATTTCAGGTTAATTTTTGGAAATGCCGTTTTCCTTGGATTTTGAAGGCGATGGATCTCATATTCGTCCTTAGGGTACTCTCTACCAATGATGAAGTCTACTAATCGCCGATTTGGGCAGAAATTTGGTCGAACTTTTTCGGGGGCGTTTTCGTAATATTTCGGCAATATTTTCGAAAGTCCGTTTTGCTTGGATTTTGAAGGCTACGAATCACGAATTCAGCCTGAGGCTATTCTTTAGGGATGAATAAGTCTATTAAACACCGATTCGGGCAGAATATTTCCGGGGCCATTTTTGGCAGATTCCAAAGGGGTACCTTCACTGATTTCGGCCGATTTTTTGAAAATGTCGTTTTCCTTGGATTTTGAAGGCGACGGATCACAGATTCGTTCTTAGGGTACTCTATACCAATGAAGAAGTCTACTAATCGCCGATTTGGGCAGAAATTTGGTCGAACTTTTTCAGGGGGCGTTTTCATAATTTTTCTGCGATATTTTCGAAAGGCCGTTTTGCTTGGATTTTGAAGGCTACGAATCACGAATTCAGCCTGAGGCTATTCTTTAGGGGGTGAATAAGTCTATTAAAAACCGATTCAGGCGGAATATTTTCGGGACCATTTTTGGCAGATTCCAAATGGGTACCATCACCGATTTCGGGCAATTTTTTGGAAATGCCGTTTTCCTTGGATTTTGAAGGCGACAGATCACAGATTCGTTCTTAGGGTACTCTCTACCAATGACGAAGTCTACTAATCGCCAATTTGGGCATAAATTTGGTCGAACTTTTTCTCGGGGGAGGGGGGGGAGGAATTTCGTAATTTTTCGGCGATATTTTTGAAAGGCCGTTTTGCTTGGATTTTGAAGGCTACGGATCACGAATTCAGCCCGAGGCTATTCTTTTGGGATGAATAAGTCTATTAAACACCGATTCGGGCGGAATATTTCCAGGGCCATTTTTGGCAGATTCCAAAGGGGGTACCCATCACTGATTTCGGGCGATTTTTTGGAAATGTCGTTTTCCTTGGATTTGTAAGGCGACGGATCCCAAATTCGTCCTTAGGATATTCTCTACCAATGATGAAGTCTACTAATCGCCGATTTGGGCAGAAATTTGTCGAACTTTTTCGGGGGGCATTTTCGTAATTTTTCTGCAATATTTTCGAAAGGCCGTTTTGCTTGGATTTTGCTGTCTACGGATCACGAATTCAGTCTGAGGCTATACTTTAGGGATGAATAAGTCTATTGAACACCGATTCGGGCGGAATATTTCCGAGGCCATTTTTGGCAGATTCCAAAAGGGTACCATCACCGATTTCGGGTAGGGGTGGGCATTGGTTTGACCAAACCACTCCAAACCGCTCCAACGGTCAATCCAAACCGTACCGTTAACTATCGGTTTCGTTTGCGGACTAACCATTTAATTGTTAGTGGTTCGCGGTTTGGATTGACCGAAACCATCAACGCAGGAGTAGCTTTGCAGAGATTCTTCTTCCTCACCGCAAACAGCTATCCCCCGGCGGCGATTCTTCTTCCTCATCCATTCCCCGCCACCGCCAGATCCGCACCATTCCCTCGCTACCCGGCGTCGATTCTTCTTCCTCATCCATACCTAACGATTCTTCTGTTCCTCTCGACGTTGCACAACACCAAGAGACGTCCCGAGCTTCATAGATCGACGCCGACGACGCTTCCCCTGACCTAAAATCCAGATTCGCACCTCCGCCGGCCTCCGCATCCCAGCTCACACCGTCGTTCTGGTACTCTCTCCCTCCCTCTTCATATCCTTGATCGGTTTCTTTTGGATTCAATCTCGAAAGTCGAATCAACCTCATGTCTTCCCGTCGGACCTCCGCCAAGGCGGCGACCGACCTACTTATCCCTTTGCCCTCCGTGGGTTTTCTAGTATGCTTGGTGGGTTGATTAGATTTGTTAGGTATGGATCTTGGGTTGTTGTTACCGTTTCCCGAAATCGGAAGAGGAAAGTTGAAAACCACTGTAATTAATTGCGACAATGCACAGAAATGTCAGTTGATTGCTTTTTCATCCATCCCATTATTTGTTTTCTTCTCCTTCTTTTTCCTCTTGGTTTGAACTTTGAACAGAATTTATTTGTGTTGGTTTCTTTGTCCACGTTAACAAGTGCACAGTTCTTAGTTTGGTATTTTCTGTTTGTTACCCTTTTCTCTTTTCATGGTGGAAGATAGCTATTAGATTTAGAGATCAGGGAACAAAACCCAGTGAATGATTTATTTACCTGTCACAATGTTCTAACTGTCTTCTTTCATATGCTTATAGGGCTGTAATGAATCTGTGAATTCGATATCAAGCAATAGGGAAATAGAAGATACTGTTATTGGAAAGATGAAATCTAAAGGATCACAGGGAAAACGAGCTCGAGCACAGATACCCAGCAACAATGTGCTTAGTGTTAGTGAGGTGAGTTCCTTTGCTATAGTAGAAGATACTGTTATCAGAATGATGTGGGGTTCTGGAACCACAAAACTAGAAGCAACTAGCTTTAATTAGAAGGAGTCTTTGTCTTCTTCGATTCACTTTCCTTTATTTAATGAAAATTTTGATTTGGTTGTTGAAAATCAGCAATGCTCTAGCTAGCTAGTTCAAACAATCCATGGTTAGTGCAATAAGCAAAGTGGCTAGTGATAAAAATTCATTGAGTTGTGTTTGCTCTTCTCAAACCCAACAAGTATTTCTCAAATTGATGCATCCGCTCAGTTGATTTCGAGTTCAGAGAAACTCGATCCAATTCAACTCATTATCGTCCCAACTCGTTGCCCTCCTCCACATTAAACTACTAACCTAGAGTTAGGTTTAATATTAGAATGCAAATTGGGTTTTGCTTTCGCACACAAATTAATTGCATTTAGACGCCCAAAAGTGCCGCTGTTGAGTGTTTTATATTGTTGCTTTCCGCAGTAGTGGAAGACTGGTGATATTTCAATTCGATTTCAAGATCTGTTCTTTCCATCTGGGTTTTCAATATTTTCGGTTTTTTTGCCTGTGATGAGAACTGGTGATATTGTGTCTGTATGACGAATAGTTTGATTACATAACAAACCACTACTGCCTTCCTTCTGAGGCTATGTTTCTTCTGTTTGTTTTTTTTTACAAGATTTGCTGTTTTTTCATGGATTACATAACAAACCACTACTCTCGATTGGTTTAAGACATGTATGCTGGTTAGCTAGGGGTAATGCAGGCATGCTAGTACTGACAGTTGGCCTCCCAGAAGGAAGCACTCAACAGGGATAATATGACTTTCATTGCCCTGCTGCCAATCTCATTTTCATGTCTAAGACCTTGTTTTTAATTCCAATCATGTCTAAGACCCTGCTGTAATGGTGTTCCATCGTAGTTTGTTTGCTTTTTTTGCTTTGGTGGGGGTTGTCTGGACTTTTCTGACAGTACAGAGTACAGACCTTAAGTTAATATACATGACTCTTGGGTGAGGCTAAGTGGTACCCGTACATGGGTTTAATTTGGACACGATCAAACATGTTTATGATTGAGTTTATTCCTTTGATTGACCTGTTGGTTGGACTATGGAAGTAATTTGTACTCTGGAAGTTAGCAATTTGTGGCATAAATTGAGTTTGCAGTAGGGTATCTGAATCCTGTCATTCTTGGAGGGACATATATCTCAAGCATTATGGTTTAATGTTTTTCCCCGCCCATCTTACAGTATATTCAATGGGTTCATGTGTAGGGGATCTAGCCAAGAAACAGAGTTCCGCAAGAAGAAAGCAGCAGATGCAAGGCATGGGGAAATCAGAGCATATGCTCTGTTTTGATGGCCGGAAACAGAGCAATGTGGAGAGGAACCCTGCCATTTTTTTTTTGTTTGCTATTATTTCAAAACTACAACAGATAACTAAGAAAATGGAGCATTCAATAGTTGTTGAGCAGTCATGGTTCTTCTTGTGCTGCCATCTTCTACTTCTCTTGCCTTCACACCTCTATTTTGGACTTTTGGTGGCATGACGATCGAGTACACAGAAACGGAGCGGGAATCCTTGCCATTTTTTTTTGTTATTTCCAAGCTTCCTTCTTTTCTTGTCATTTGCGGTCAAAATGCGGTGCGGTCTAAACCATACCAAACCGTTAATTTATGCGGTTTGGTTTGACCGCACCGATAACTTCGCGGTCAAAGATGCGGTGCGGTTTACATAAATGCGGTTCGGTGCGGTTTATAAAAATGCGGTGCGGTCCAGTCCGAACCGTACCGATGCCCACCCCTAATTTCGGGTGATTTTTAGGAAATGTTGTTTTCCTTGGATTTTGAAGGCGACGGATCACAAATTCGTCTTAGGGTACTCTCTACCAATGATGAAGTCTACTAATCGCCGATTTGGGCAGAAATTTGGTCGAACTTTTTCGGGGGGCATTTTCGTATTTTTTTGGCGATATTCGAAAAGCCGTTTTGCTTGAATTTTGAAGGCTACGGATCACGAATTCGGCCTGAGGCTATTCTTTAGGGATGAATAAGTCTATTAAACACCGATTCAGGCAGAATATTTCCGGGGCCATTTTTGGCAGATTCCAAAGGGGGTCCATCACCGATTTCGTGCGATTTTTTGGAAATGCCGTTTTCCTTGGATTTTGAAGGCGACGGATCTCAAATTCGTACTTAGGGTACTCTCTACCAATGATGAAGTCTACTAATCGCCGATTTGGGCAGAAATTTGGTCGAACTTTTTCGGGGGGGGGGGGGGGGGGGGGGGGGGGGGGCATTTTCGTAATTTTTTGGCGATATTTTCTAAAGGTCGTTTTGCTTGGATTTTGAAGGTTACGGATCACGAATTCATCCTGAAGCTATTCTTTAGGGATGAATAAGTCTATTAAACACCGATTCGGGCGGAATATTTTTGGTGCCATTTTTGGCAGATTCCAAAGGGGGCACCATCACCGATTTCGGGCGATTTTTTGGAAATGCCGTTTTCCTTGGATTTTGAAGGCGACGGATTACATATTCGTCCTTAGGGTACTCTCTACCAATGATGAAGTCTACTAATCGCCGATTTGAGTAGAAATTTGGTCGAACTTTTTCGTGGGGCATTTTCGTAATTTTTCTGCGATATTTTCAAAAGGCTGTTTTGCTTGGATTTTGAAGGCTACGGATCACGAATTCAGCCTGAGGCAATTCTTTATGGATGAATAAGTCTATAAAACACCGATTCGGGCGGAATATTTCCATGGCCATTTTTGGCAGATTCCAAAATGGGTACCATCACCGATTTCAGGCGATTTTTTGGAAATGCCGTTTTCCTTGGATTTTGAAGGCGACGGATCACAGATTCGTCCTAGGGTACTCTCTACCAATGATGAAGTCTACTAATCGCCGATTTGGGCAGAAATTTGGTCGAACTTTTTCCGAGGCATTTTCGTAATTTTTCGGTGATATTTTCGTTCATTTACCGGCCCAAAAAATAGAAAGAACGACAAAAAAAACTGTGGGGCTAGAAAACAGTCGGCCCAGAAAAGTAAGAACCCAAGAGAGTGGGCCGATAGGCCCAACTCGATCATTTACCGGCCCATAAAAGGGGGGGGGGGGGGGGGGGGGGGGATCCTATCATTGGTATAGTTCGTTCGCCGCTCCTCTAATATATTATCCACACAAAGTCAGAATCAGAGCGTCCGAACCTTGTTGTCTCTACTACTCAACTGCTTTACGGTTAACAACATCCTTTGTATCACAAACAATGGCGGCAGCTCTGAAGACAACGCTGTCGCTCTTCTCAGTTCACGACCCTCTAGCTCTTCCTTCCTCCTCCCGCTCTTCAAATATTCAGTCCACTTCCAGGCCACTTCATTCGCCTCCGCCAATTAAACACTCCTCTACCGGTTTCGTTTCCATTCGCCGGAGTGGCCCAATCATTCCTCTCACAGTAGCCAATCTCCCTACATGGCAACACCTTCGCCGGAATCCGCTCTGTTTAGTGCAAGAAGCGGCAGTGGAGACCGAGACCGAGACTGGCACTGAATCAGAGCAAACCCAGGCGGTGAACCAGAAGAGAAAGCTATTCGTGCTCAATTTGCCCTGGTCCCTATCTGTTGTGGACATAAAAGAGCTCTTCGGCCAGTGCGGGACTGTAGCGGATGTCGAGGTTTCTGAATTCCGAAATTGTCCTTCTCTTTCTTTTCTGCATAATAGTTTGGTGCTGTTTTGGGCAATTTACTGGTTCTGTGGCGTTTTAGTGATGTGGGTTGCTGCTGGAAACTTTTTCTTTTGTGTGACTTCCAGATTATAAAGCGAGCCAATGGAAAGAGCAAAGGTTATGTTTTTGTAACAATGGCTTCTGGAGAGGAAGCTCAGGCTGTTGTAGATAAATTTCACTCTCAGGTACTTGGCTTTTTGTTGAGGTTTTCTGGGCAATGGCTGGTTTCTATCTTGCATTGGCTGAAGTTTTTTGAGGTTGAAGGGTTCTGTTAGGTGTAAATCGGCACGTAGGGATCATAAAGTTTCGATTTTTACACACTAGAAACTTCTGATAATGGCAGGAAGTGTCTGGGAGAATTGTGACAGTGGAATTTGCTAATGGACTTAAGAGGAAGCTCTCTCCAACGGAGCCCCTTACTACTAAAGAGACATCTCACAAGCTTTATGTGTCAAACCTGGCCTGGAAAGTCAGAGGCAGCCATCTCAGAGAACTTTTCTCACCTGAGTTTAATCCGGTTTCAAGTCGAGTTGTTTTTCAAAGTAATCCAGGAGGAAAATCAGCTGGATATGGGTTTGTCTCGTTTGCTTCAAGGGAAGAGGCAGAGGATGCAATCTCAGCTATGGATGGCAAGGTAAAACAATAACAATTGCCTCTTTCAACTCTATACTTTAAATTAATACCTCCCAAGTTCTGTGATATGAAGAAGTCGGTTAATAGAAGCATTTCCTACTAATGCTTTCCTTCTGGCTTTGTATTCTTGAGGCCTCTGCTCCTGATAGCTGAATCCTGTGTTTGAGCGTGTGTGTGAATGAGGACAATCTGTTTGGTTACTGAGAGACATTTTTGCTTGCACAATTTTTATCATATTCAGGAGCTCATGGGTCGCGCTATTCGACTGAAATTCAGCAATCCCAAAACAGCTGATGAGTCAGGAAGCGAAAAGCAAGAGACGGAGAGCTTGGAGGAGCAACCAGAGACGGAGAGCTTGGAGGAGCAACCGGAGACGGAGAACTTGAAGGAGCAACCTGCAGATATAGTATGAATATGGTTGCCCATTTTAATCTTTGGCAGCAAGACAGAATTTTGATGCAGTGGCCATGTGTGGAAAGGATTCAAGGCTTTTCTGTACACCCTTGCTCCCATTTTCTCTTTTACATGGTGAGTTGTCCAAGCTAACACCTACAGTTCCACTCTTCTTTTCATCCTGCTGTTGATAAACTTGACCACATAAGAAGAATGTACTTACTGCATGAGTGGTGTAGATGTCATGTGCTTGTCGTAAACCTTCCACTGGTTTTCTCATGATGTTCATTTTTCTTTTCATAACCATGTAGGAACACATTCGTCTGAGTTGATAGATTCTGCACGACGAAATGGCATTTTTACGATCGTGCATTGCTGAATGCCTTCACCTAAATGTTTTATATATATAAGGGGCATTCACCTAAATGTATTATAGTATCGATTTAGGCGTGTATACTGTAGCTTGCAGTAAGGGGGACTTGCTTCTTCTGCTGTTGCATCCTTTTGTTTGAATATTACATTCTCTATGAGTTGTTCCCGGCAAAGAAACGACCATTGAAGCTGTATAATTCCTCTGAGTACAGCAATGAAGAGAAAGGCAACCAACAAGTCTAGAATATTAATGGATAGATGGTTCAAATTGCAGGCTGTAGACTGTAGTATTGGAATGGTTAAAGACCAGAGAATGTGGAAATAAGGTGAAGGGGATAGCTTATGGTTTTTTCTGGACGGACACAGAAAAAAAGAGAGGATGTTGCTTATTACTGTGATCACACATGCAAATGAACAGTTCAAACTTCAAACTGCAGAGGTTGTGCATGTGACTGCAACTAATTCAAAACGATGCCATACCATGCTTCTTCAGGCAGATTGGAAAACAGCTTGCAGCTCGGAGGTAGTGTGTTCGGTCCCTTAAGCCCGCCGCAATACTGCAGAAGAGCCAAAGCACAAGAAGCCATGAGATATGAGAGTTATGATTAACAACCAGACTTGAGTTTTGCGTCTCTTGGCGTAAGGCAAATGCAAAGTTAGTACCCACATCAGAAAGGTATCTTAGCATAAGCAGGTTAGTATTAAACCTTTCACTAATGACCTAACGAACTTTAGAACACAAGCATTACTCAATCACTTCAGTGCTGCAATATCACTTCCGCGTGGATTACAAGTGTGTGGAGGATAGGTTTCAATTTTCATACCGATTCAACTCATCCCAACTGGCCGTCAACAGGGCCGTAGTAATCTTTCACAAACATGGAACCGTAAGGCAGTGCAGAAAATTCAGTCTCTAACTTACTGATTTTGACTACATCGTTCTAACTGCTTGCGACAAAGAATTTTTTTTTTTTAGTCATTTGTACCAAGAGGCCATTGCATTGCTTACTGCTTGCGAGAAAGAAAAATGTGAACATATTCCTATCTTTTTTGAGAATAGAACAACCTAAAAACACAAACAAATGTTAGCTAACTAGCTAAAACAAATAAATTAGTCAATAACTAACTATATCAATTCAACTAGCTAATTGTACAAGATATTAATCACACTACGAGCTAAACGACAAAAGAAGATCACGCCCTACTTCTTCAACTTCAAGCAAATTGTAATTCAAAAGGAAGCATGTGGAAGCCTAGGATTCGATACCCACAAGCAGCACCATTTCAATCCTCTCATTGACTTGGGTGAATGGTTGGGGAGGGATGCGAGAGGAGAATGTATGCTTTCTATGTAATGTGGAAGAATAAGGAGACTTACCATTTCTAATTAACAGCCAACCATCTTAAACTAAATTTTCCCTAAAAGAAAGAAAGTGGCACTAAAGACATTCCTTTCCCTTTCTTTAACTTTAAGAAAGATAAACCAATCTCCATTTTTTAGAACACACCTTCCAAGGCAGTCAAAGTTTCCCCTACATACGAGAAGACTAGTTTCTCTAATGTAACATTTCGTCATATCTAAAAAATAAGACATTTTGATGTATCTTATCTGAAAATATACATTAGAATCTAGAAACGACTCAAATGTAACAGTGTGATTGCGAACAACACATATCGTCATCTTTCCCCACTTCCTAAATGGAACAATTAAGGAGATAAAGAGGAGTTGCAGCTTGCTAATGCTAGGTAGATGATACCAGAAATTGCCAAATCCTTGTGCACATTTAATTTCACAAACACTCCAAAGTCCAACTTCTTGGATATAACATTAGCATTCATTACTCTGTCTGGGCCACTTCCCCTCCCCCAACCAACACCTTCCCAACCAAACAAACCATAATCTCTACTCTACACCCTAAATAGCACAATTCCATAAAGAAAAGAAGAAAAGAAGAAAAGACTCAAAAGAAAATAGAAAATAAAAGAGAGGAAGGGTCAAGAAAATAAAGAAGAGATGAGCTTGATAAAAGAAATCCAATTTAAAGAACATGAGTGAGATAGCTAGAGAGAGAGAGAGATCAACATAACATTCTCCCACCAAAACTCATTTCCCTTTTCCCATTGATGTTCTCTTCTCTCTCAACCTTCCCTCTGTTCTCCTGATTCCATTTGCATGAGACAAACCCTACCCCCCTCAATTCTCCAATTCCTTCCCACACAAGTAAAGCCATGGCAGCTCTGCAACCGCCAAAGACGCTGATTCCTCTCATTGACAAGCACAAGAACGACTGCCCCCAGCAAGGGATCTGCAGCTTGCTCTGCCCACAACTCTGCTTGAAAGCCATCTTCCCCAACCCCTCACCGCCATCTCCACCCAACCAGGAATTCTCCAACGCTGCAACCACCAACTTCTCCCCCATCGTCATCGCCATCATCTGCATCCTCGCCGGCGCTCTCCTCCTCCTCTCCTACTACACCCTCATCTCCAAGTACTGCCGCGGCCACACCACTGAGGATCCTGACCCGAGCAGAAACAGGGGAAGGGGGCGGAGAAGAAGGCAGAACAATCTCATCCACCACAATCACGCCGATGATGATGAATTCGGCGCTGCTGGTGATGTCATGAACTCCTCGCTTCACGAGCCGTGGCAGTGGCACGTGTCGCTGACTACCGGTCTGGATGAAGCACAGATCAAGTCCATAACGGTCTGCAAGTATAGGAAGGAAGATGGGTTGTTGGTGGCGGGTGGCAGCGGCAGAGGAGGAACAGAGCATCACTGCTGCTCTGTTTGTCTGAGTGAGTTCCGCGATGGCGAGAGCTTGAGGCTGCTGCCCAAGTGTAGCCATGCTTTCCACCTCGATTGCATTGATACTTGGCTTAGGACTCACTCCACCTGCCCCTTGTGTAGAGCCAATATCTTCTTCTTTGGTACTGAAACTCCCGCTGCTGCTGCGGCTGGTGATGGTGCGGGAAGGGTTGAGCTTGTCGTTGAAGAAGCAGAACAGAGTGAGGATGAGTACTCCAACGGTGGGGGAAATGAAGAGAGAGATGATCGGCTGCGGCCACCGGAGCAAGTGGTAAGGAGGTGTGCTTCTATGGATCATTTGTGCCTTCGGATGGGCAGCGGTGGTACTGATCGCGGTGTGTCAAGGGAGGAAGAAGAAGGGAGTAAGCATGATTCTTCGAGTCAGAGTAGTACTAGTAACAGCAGCAGGAGAGTGGTGGATACGGTGAAGAGATCGTTTTCAAGTGGGAGATTGTTCTACCTCGCCCGCCATGGAAGTAGAACCTGCGTCGTCCATCCCACCACTTTCCCTTCCACTTCCACAAGTAATGTTTAGAACACGAAATTGTATGGAAGTTTGACTCTTTTCTTTCTGTTACCGCCAAAATTGTTTATATCTATTTAGTTGTTCTCCTCCATCTGTCATTTTCTTGTTCTTCTCTGAACTACAAATTTTCAACCAAGGTCCAAACTAGAGGACCACAACCCATAAACTAAAATTTGACACATAATCTTATGATCCGCTCCTTAATTTACGCGCTTATAAGCAAGAAGGCCGAAGGCCATTCCCGTCCATGTCGAGGTAGATGCCAACCATCTCTCCTTTCTACATACGAACACTTGCACGCTTATAAGCAATGCAGCACGGATTAGGCATTAACCCTATTTAACCAGAAAAAGTAGTTGTAACCAAATGATTTTGGCAGAGACGAGAAATTAGGTGGATCACTGGAACTATAACCAGGTCTCTGTTGCTGCATCATTAACTTTAACTTGTGGTTACTGGTTAATGGTTAGATGGGGCATTAAAGTTGCTAACGATGGTTAGTCTGTTAAATCAAATTATATAGCTACCACATCCTATTATTGCCGTCTTTTGTTGAACGTAAAACTGTATGATAATTAATTTGGATTTGAAAGGAATTAAACAGATGATCAAAATTGATCTCACTACAAAAGCTTGTGTATGGAAAGGGAAGCAATGTCAGGCAGTCATGCAATCCCCAATTCTTAACAGTGTATCATCTCATGCTCAAGTTCAAAAGTCAAATTCCAGAGCAGAAGAAGAAACAGAATCACCTTATCACTATCACCATCTTTTCATGCCGGATTAGTCCTGTCACCTATGCTATAAACTCCACCGTCGATTCACCCTTTCCATCATCATGTTCTTGTAAGTACAGTGTCGATGCAGAGCGAAGCAATTGCCTCCTCATCTCTGTGAATCGCAGTATTGAGGAAATTCACACTGGCAGGGTCCTCTTCGTACCTGAAATGGACATTCCAACTGGTTTAGCATATTTACTTATCTGTCTCTTCTATCGTCTCTAAGTCTATACAGGCAAGAAACTTATTTTCTTCTAAGTCTATAAACTTGATGCTAGTTGCTACATCAATCAGTTCTCTCCCGCAACATCACAAGTCTGTTATTCCATGTAAAACCCCATCTTTCACACTTAAATTTATATAATTTCGAAAGAAGCTCCAGGCTAGCTATCATCCCCAATTCTATGGCTCTTCCCCAATAAATTATAATAAGAATCGGTGAAGCCAATAACAATGTCCAAATATCAACTGTTTGAGCTCCCTGTTAAAAGCATCCTAACTCCACAAACTGGTTCCTGGTCATATCACATCAATTATTTTAATATAAGTTCCTCTCACCACAGAAAAAAATTCAAACCGTCACCCAACAGCGAATTGTAATTCAACAATCTAGTGTAATTCAGAAGGAAATATGCAGATCAAACATTGATCACAGAATGTACAATATAATAAAAAAACTTCCTGAAGGATCCATCACAACGGCATTTTTAGCATTCTTTAGCACGTCATAGATGCACCTATGAATACGTAGTCAAGAATGAAGAAAAATACAGACCTTACGGAAGGTAAAAGAGACCCGTCTCAAACTCCTATTTATCACTGTGCCATCCACCAAGTCTATCTGTTGTACAAAATATCACAGAGCTCATCACTGACCTTTCCTTCATGGGGTATTAGAGTCAAAAGAGTGTAACAAGCAAGCATGCTATGTTATGTCCTTTTATTCTTCCTGACATTAAAACTATGTGGCATTACCTTGTGATGTGGGATGTAGTGATTCCAAGCATAACGTGCCTCCCCAGATAATAGAAGCATTGACCGAGGAGGAAGGTAGATGGCTTTCCTAATCATGTTTGAGCTATCGTGAGAGTTATCAGCTTCGACCTCAGTACTCGAAGCAATTGTTGGAACAATTGAACCATCTACATATTGCCTAAACTCCATAATGCAAGGCCCGGCTAGTGAAAGGCTAAAAATCAAATCATCAAATGCTGAATGGGTGTCTATGTGAGGGGAGAGTCCAACCCCACGTGGATACTCGTTAATCTGCAACAGAGCCAACAAACCCTCAGCCTTAATGTAACAGGGACGAGTCTGCCATCTATGAAGATTGATAAGGTAAAGAGGGTTGTTGCAGTTTACTACAGTGTCAACAATCTCGGGTCACAAGACAAATGCAATAACTATATGGTAAAACGAAGCAATAACTGGAAGAACACAGAACGAGCGTCCCAGTCACCAGGCATCAGTCAAGTACCGTAAGTTGGTCCAGTATCGAACTTGCAGTACTATGATCTAGGTTCGGGAATGATGCTATCCTTTGGAGTATAGGAGAAACAAAGGATGGAAGTTCTCCCAAGCACCTCTTTGTATTGACATTTCTTATCTGCATGAGAAAAACATACAACATAATGAGCTTTCAATTTCCATGAAACAAAAGGTACGTGAAACAGCATTATTCACTTTCATGTTTCAGGAAATAATTTCCAAAATTGCGTAACAGCATGCTGAACTTAGGTTCATCCGTTGGGATACAAGTTCTTGAAACCAACAATTTCAAAGAAATCCCGGTCTATAATAGTACAATAGCAGATTACCATCTCTTTATTACAAGCTGGTACATTCTCAGATAGTTGTTAAGAAAAAAATGATACTGCAAATGATTAGGACAATGAGGCGGCAGCTGCAAGCAGCTAACTGCCACAATGTTTTCAGTTTTTCCGGGCTAATTTCAAGCTATGAGGAAATCTTGTTTAAGAATATCAATTTGTTTGTTGTATCAGTAATATTTATTATACAAAAAAAAAGTAATTGAGTAATTTTCAAACCTAGAAATTCCAGCTGCACTGTCTGAAGAATCAAGTTACCATGGAAAAATTCAGTACGGATTTAAGCTGATAGATACGAGCCAGATTATGAAGTTTTACAGCACAGGTCCTCTTGTTTACCTCCTTTTTAAAATCCATGACAGGTACTCTCTCAGCATTTCATGCAGATAAATATACTTGGCGATGTTACAACTTTCAAATTCCCAAAAATCTTACATAACCCAGAAATGGTATTTACAACATGCAGTTAAAATACACATCCATCAAACAAAGGAAGAGCAGCAGGAAACTAAATCGTCTACAAAATCAAAAGCACCAGGAAATGAGGGTTCAGTAAGAATTACATCATAGCAGAACTCATATCCATAGTGTTGAACCCTTCTCTTGGAGAGCTTGTTCCAGGGTCTACTGTCAACTGCTGCAAGCAATTCCTGAAAGCAGAATTAACCCAAATGTGAACACCAAAAGCCAACTCTTTGGGACTCAAAAAAAAAAATGGATGAAGAAGTATATCAATGTCAGAGACACAAATACCAACTTGCTCTTCTTCCACGGTGACGAAGTCGTGCAACAAGTAAAGGCCTGGAATATTCACTTCTGAAGCCAGACGGGATACTGGGATTGCGTGGTCGACCGGACTCTAGAGTTAGCGAAGGCAAATTATTGACAGTCAACAAACTGTGTGAACCGCAGATCAAACAGCCATAAGTTAGTTGTGCGCACCTTGCCAATTGGTTGAAGGACGGAATTACGAATGTGCAGAGAACGTCCTCCGAGCTCAGCACAAGGCTTCCCATTGAATGCAGCCAGTGCAGCTTGAGCAGAATCGACCTGCCCATAAGAAACAATGACACGGGTGCCGCTATCATCAGCTGCGTACACTCCTTCCACATCCCCGAAAGCGGCGAACGCTGAAGCAATAGTTTCGTAGGACAGTCCCACAGCTGGTCCGCAGTTGGCTACAAAAAGGTTAGAAGAACTTGACTGGGCATCGCCTGCCTTGGGCCGCGTGAACCTTGGAGGACCCATATAGTTTGGGATCAAACCCGCCGAAATCAATGGCCGCGTTCTTGTACCCAAAAGGCGAATGAAGGAGAGCAGTGTTGTATCAGCGTTTGCAGAGCTCCTCGAAACGCGAATTCGAACAGAACATTAGCGGCGAAATTACTTAGGGAAAAGGCAAAGAGAGAATAATCCCAATGGCCGTTTAACCCCCGGGAAGCAGCGCCGTCGTCCCACACTCCCACTGGCTCGGACCTCGGAGAGTATCGACACGGTGGCGGGCGACCCTCAACTAATAAGATGGCTGCACCCGATGGGCTCCTATAACTCGGGCATGCATCAAATTGGGCCCAATTTTGGGTCTAGTTTACTAACAACTCCTTCCTTCTCAAGCCCAACTAGTTGTTGATGAGCAGTGAAACCAAAGGTCTCAATTCTGCGCACAAGTGAACTAACTTGTTGGTAATATTGCAGCATTACAGTTCAGAACAGTGAGTACATTCTATTCTATGCCAAAAGCTTTGCTACCCGGTTCGGTTGTTATAGTCTGCACAAAATTAGGCTTCTTAAAATTTCACTTCCTTCCCCAAGTTTTCAAGACGTCCAAAAATTATATATGCCACAAAGCAACTGACAGCAATACATTATTTACAAAGAACGTATTCGGGAGGGGAAATCAGCGGCTCTCAGGCTTCCATAATAATCAACCAAGTTCTAGAATCTTATACTTTCAGCTGTCATGGCGAGTTTCTGGGAGACGTGGTGCTGAGACAAGCCTCTCTGCCGATGCACCATACTCTACTCCGGCTGGGGGTCTCGTTCGCAGACGAGCTCGACTTCGGTTCGCTTAGGCAAAACTCCCAGTCGGAAACCGAATTGCTAGCATCCGAATACCGCAACTTCCCCTCCACCTTGCTATTCGCCTCATCGAACTCCCCCAGGCGCAGCTTCGATCCATGCACACCACCTGCCATGTCGAACCCGGATCCAACAACTTGGTCCCAGTTGGGAGTAGTTGCTGCAGAATTGGGATTGCTCGCAGCATCTTCTTGCAAAATGTCTCCTATTCTTGTCAATATGCTGCATGCCAGGTTAGCCAGAACCCTGGAGTATGCTTCAAGGATTGCATGTCCAACGTCCTGATGATGAGGTCACAGAATTAAAGAGAAGAATATCATGCATTCATATCATAAAGATAGTAAACACAAACGCACCCCCGATCCCCCTAGAACAATTAAATCTTTGCATACCTTGCCATATTGGATTTTAGAAGCATCAAGAAATGTTTGAGGAAGATTCGGATGTCTAGCCTTAAGTTGCCGGACAATGGATTCTGCTCTGTCTACAAGGATCTCCACCTTTTCTAGCTCAGATAAAGGGTCTTTCCCAAAGGAAGACCAGGAGGTTCTAATGGGGGACTTCTTGCCAACTTGTGCTGCTTTGATCGTCTCTTTCCACCCCAATATGGCAGCTTCCAACTTGTTCACCGCTTCAAGTACACTATGTTCAGATTTCAGATCAAGAGAGTTGAGCATTTCCTCTTTTCTAGCTGATTCCATTGTCAATACTTTGTACAGTTCCTCCCCGAGATTCACCCGTCCAGACTGTAATGGAAGCAAAGTAGATGCGAATCGCTTAATCAGGGGGAAAATATAGGTGATAGTAGGATGGTGGTTTGTCCTATTTTTTTCATACCTTGGGAAGTGCATCTTTAATCATGGACGGGACAGGCATTTCAAGCAAAATGCTCTGGTTGATGGCTTTGGCAGCCTTGAATACTTGATAGACAACCCTGGACTTGTACATCAGCTTCTTCCTTTCTGTATCAGATAGTCCAGCTGTGGGAACTTGGGGTAGTGGAAGCCACCACCTTGTGCTCTGCCTTGTACTCTTGTTTCTTCCTTCAGCTTTGCTGCCCACTTCTGAGTACCAGAACTCATTTTTCACCATTGAATCTAGTGTTTCCTGTTAAGATTGTCAAATGATGTGAAGTGAGATTCCTTAAGTAACATATCAACATCGAGAATCTCAACTTTGGAGAAATCACCTACAATTAGCATAGAGTCCAACTTTGTAAGTGCAGGAAGATTCATGTGGATGTCTGCACGGGCTCTGGGAGTCATTATCTGCTTTTACAATTCCAAGATCAGTTCCACATCCCACCAAGTTGAGAGTCTTCTTTTTTGTCAACTTATGGATAAAAGAGATGATTACCTCCATGGTACGGCCATTTGCACCATTTTGCTTAGCAGGAACCAACTCAACCATGTAGTTCGTGGGAGAAAGCAACCAATCCATTTCCCTTCTCCATTTGTTCTTTCTTTCTTCAGGCAATGGCTCCAATTTCCATAGCTCCCCGAAAACAGATGCTAAAGAAAAAAAAATCAATTTGAAGCATTTAAAGCTGATGAACAAATTGCAAAAACAAATGAAAGTGAGGCAACTTGAGTAAAGTCAAGTAAGCTTGACAGAACATCTAGGGGATGAAGCAAGCAACATTAAGAGGAAGGTCAACTTTTGTTCGAAGAAAACTGATCGTGTAGGATGGAAAGCTATAGATGCATTGGCATATAGCATTCTGTATATGGCTAGCCCTAATGAAATCAACCGGAAGAATATTGTTGTTTTAGTTTGAAAAGATTCGACAATAGATTCATGTACCTGCCAGGCTTGTTATTGCGTTGGACAATGCTAAGGCAGCAGTGAGGCCTTTACTGCCGCCAGTGATATCTTCTCCCAACAACAGCTTGGCAAACTTCTCCTTCATTGTCTCCACATCTGAGAGCCCAATACCATAAGCTGGTTTCTCTTTGGCATAAAAGTGGTGAGGGCTTTCTGGGAGCTCCCAGTCATCAGAACTCTGATCATCCCTTTTCACACTCAACCATTTAGAAGAGAACGACCCAAAAACATCTTTGCTCGATGAGCAGCTGGAAGCGCCATCATCCAATGAGTCGCTTACAAATCCATCGCCTCTGCTTGTCCCGCTTTCATTTTCATAAGATTGATTGTTTTGAATACAGCTCTCCAGGCCATCATAGGTCATTATCCCTGATATCAACGAACATTAATAAAAGGCTATGATAGCTGCATAATGTTGTATCCTCTTCTTTACATGTGCTTCCAAATCTTTAACGTGGTTACATTCCTATTAAGCATTCACTAGTAGAGATGAATGAACACTTAGCTAAGGTTTATGAAATTATGATAAGGGATGATCTTTACTAGATGGCTTCATGCAGTTCAACTTTTGAGTTACAGAATGCTTAAATTAGGATCTACGACAATCACAACTAAAACAGCTATATGTTGGCCGTCATTAAGATAGATCACAAAGGTATTAACAAGTCCAAATTCTATTTATAAAGCATTAAGCACAACAAATCAAGAATAATAATTCATAAACATTTCTCGAGTTGAAGTCAGTTCACTTACACCCACCCAGTTTGGGACCAGAAATGCTAATTTTGACAGGAAAATGAAATTCTGAAATTAGCATTGCAGCATGGTCCTTGATTCATGACTTGTAGTTGTAGGAAAAGACAGGGAGGTTACTCCCAATGTACCAGGCCAGACCAAAACAAAAAAGGGAGGTGTCATTCGTCCAGTCACCTTTCCCCATTCAAAAAGCAAAAAATACAGAAATAGGAAGCCAATCAATAGGACCACAGCAAAGCAGAAATTTCGCAGAAGCTTTGGGACGAAGAAATAGGACAATGGGGCAGCAGATCACCAAACTAAGTGCTGGTCTGGACAGCAAAAGAAAGGATGGCATGTGACTTGAACATGACACTGATCCGTCATAAGAGATCATTCAATTGGCTTGAGAAATGGGCTAACCACCACATGCCTCACACGTGTCTAGTATTTTTCTTCTTGTAGATCCCCTTCCTTTAGTCCACTTTGGATACCCATTTACTCTCTTCCTAAGATACATTAGTTAAGTCGTCAATGTAGACCAGCTAACCAGTCAAAGATGGAGGATTCTCCACTGTACAAACAAGCTTATGGACTATGGTAGTCAGGCAGCTAAAGCCAAAAGGTTGCACTATTTTCTCTATAACTACAAGTAATCCCTAAACAATGTTCCATAACTCTGAAAAACAAGGGAGAAACCGAGAAAGTAAAGGATACCCAGCCCATGATAATGGTGGATGTGGGATCCAAGTAGAAATTTTTCAAAAATCAATTTTGAGGGAGACTTTTCATAGAGACGATGACATCTGCCATTCCGCGGGCCACACTGATACAAACTCTTATGTCCCTGTCCTGTTACTTAATTCGTTTTCTCTACTTGTCCTATTTCGGAGGGGCACAAATGACCTCTCCGATGATATAAAATTTAGCCCTGTACCGCAAATAATGGTCCCCGGACGAGGAAGAAAAGGGTTTGAATCAAGGAATAAAGAATTTGGAGCTACATGCATATTAACAGAGCTGCCTCCCCCGCTACAACTCGTCTCTCAGACATCCCTTGTTCCCTAACATCAATGTCATTACTACAACTAACTACATGCAACTGCTTCTTATAATCTGTGCCCACAAAATTTGAATTTAGTGGGAACCAAACCTGCGCCATCCCCACAAAGTTAAATGATGTATATTGTACATGAAAAACAATAATGTCAAGTTTATGTGCAATTTTATAAAAGCATAGCTAGATCGGATGAGGAACTGGTGATGGACTTTTGAAAGTCTTTCCTAGATGATCCTAAATTAATGGATCTGAATTATTTGAAGACTTAAAAACGAATTTTGTTTGCAGACAGTGCTAATCTAGGTTTAAGTAGAGCAGGAAAAACAAACATGCTAGCTAGCAGACTCAGATCTAGCTTTTTGATAATCTGCAACTCGCACATTGAGCACTGGGTTATTAATCAATAACTAAAATCTAACCATAGGTGTCAGCGTAAACAATAGGCATTAAAAGAATATCTTTGACAAAAAAAAACACTAGGCATTAATAAAATTAGCTATAACCAGCATGTGAATGGAACTTGTAAGCTCAAGGAGCTAGTCCCAGGTCCGAGTTTTTTATTTTTTAGAACAGTAGTCCCGGTTCCGAGTTGGAAGAAAGGAGAGCAGCAACAGTAGAAAGTAAGAAGAACCAACCACGAGCGATCAGTCAGGTATTTTTCAGACACAAAAGTCCAAATCATGAAACTACTGTGTTTGGTTTTTCTTTTCTGAAAATGGGAACAGTAAGAAGTGAGTCATTCATCTAAAAATAAGAAGCACAAGGACAAGCCGTTCCCATTCTATTTAAAAATCCTCAAGAAAAAGAAGAAAACAACGAAATGGAAAGGTAGAAGAGAAGAGGATGATTGTTGATTACTGATTAGTATATCAAGGAGCGGTCAAAGCTCTCAGCCAATCTGAGAGAAGAGGGGGATGGCTGGGCCTGGCCTGGCCACTACAGAGGCGAAGGACGACACAGCCACTGAGCCACTCACTCCCAAATTTAAGACGCCATAAATACACCCCTGCCCTCACCGTCTCCCTTCTGCACCAATATTAAATACGTGGGAAGCATACTAGCATAGTATATATGACTTTGCCAATGAGGTATTTTTTGAAACACGACTGTAGGCTTTCCTCCTACAAGCTCGTTTCTGCAGAAGGTCGGGACCCAGTGTAAATAGGAACCGCAGTTCCCAGAGCCCTCCATTCAAACCAACTCACTCCTCCCTCGCATATGCAGTATTCACTGGGGAACCAGTTAAAGCTTAAAACCCACCTCAATACGCTTCTCTTTCCCAATAAAAGCAAGCAGCACGAGAAAGAAGACCCAAAACCATCACCCACAACATTAACATCTGGTAGTGGTCAGAAATCATGGACAACCCACATTCTTAGGACCTTGAAACCAAGTGTTCCATTATGAACCCACCACAAGTGCATTGCATACCAGCTACTCATTATAAACCATAGTCACACGAACCTAAACCATGTTACTTTAGCAGCAAACCTCACAAAATAAGCAACGTTTTGTTTTCTGGGTAAGCATGTGTTAGATATGGCATTTTACTGACTTTAGCCCGAAAGCAAACAAATGGTTTGTTAGGAGGGATCACGGGAGAGAATCCGCATCAAACACGGCAGACAAATTTGGAATATTAATACCAATCAGTCAATCAATTAACCAACAAATTCCTAAAAGTGAAGAATGAATTCAATACCAGAGCGAGTTAAAACTCTACCCAAAAACAAAAACAGTAAGGGTGCGGAGTACTTACTACTTTCGTGTTCATCGAAGTCGATGCTAATCCCTCTGTCCCGAGTGCAGCAAGCCAATCTGCTCCGCATCAGCATCCCTACTCCCTCCCCTTAATTCCCTGCTCAAAATCAAGCAAGCAAGATATTGTTATGGCCCAACCCAGCCGTGCCCGTGGGTAATGAACAGCCAATCAGCTTGTGATAAAGATAATAATGAGTAGTGTGAAGAAATGGAAGCTTCTACTCTCTCTTTCTGTATAATTGTTTGGGTTTGGGATTATTATTGGTTAAGCAAAAGTTAAGAGAGAGAGAGAGGAGGGACAAGAAAACCGGGTAATGGGGGTTTGAGATAAGGGAAACCCAAACTACCCAACGGATTTTACGCATTAAATTAGTGAGTGGAGGTTGGGGATTCTTCCTCCTCAGTCCTCCTCCACCATTATCAATACAATACCGACTGACTGTGAACGAACGGTGATTTTTACACAGTGAAACGGAGCGCAAAAGTCTACGCTCCCACCACCCACACGAATCTCAACGAAAAGAAAAAGCCCCCACCCACACAAACAGCCAAAAGTTCAGTAAAAGCTACAAAGAGAAAGATTTGTTCAATTAATTAATCAGTTCAAAAAAGTGAAGAATCGCCATAACAACAGTAAAGTTTTCCTGTCGAAATCGAGGCAACGAATTGCCGGCGACGGTCGATCGCTCGATTGGATTTTCGTGCAATGAGGAAGAATCTAAGTAACGTAAACACACTTTCTGGAGTCAAAACAAACTGAACAGATGAAGAAGAAACTGTTGAGAAATCATAAGAGAGAGAGAGAGAGAGTGAACGAGACCTGAGAAGAGAGCACGGTGGGGACTGCGGGAGCTGGCCGGTGAAGATAGTAGGTCAGCAGTTGGCAGAAGTAGCAAGTGTTGCGGACTTCAGAGAAGAAGAAGCAGATTCCGGTCGCCGAGAGGTTGAGGTTGCGGTTGCGGGGAAAGGCTAACAGACAAGTGTGAGAGATATGTTACAGACGAGGGCGGTTGAATGTTAATGAAATCAAAATGGCGTGAGAAACGGAGGAGAAGGTGCTGTGTGGGGGAAGCGGGATAGCCGAGGGAGAAGAAGGAAGGGTGTGAGTGTGACTAGAGAACAAAGACAAGGGATTTAGGGAGGCGATGATTCCATTTGCGTTTTATAATTGACTGGAAGAAGAGAAGAGAAAATTCGTAGCTCGCTCTGATCACTCTGTCTAACTGATTTGACTGACTGAAGCCACTGAACAAAGACAGACACTCGGCAGGGATTTTTCTTGTGCCCCTTTTTCTCTTTGTTTTGGGAAAAAGGAAGTTTATTAATGGAGCTTTTGATCTAGCAATCCATGTGTTCGTGAGGATTTCGGTGTTGGGTTTGATAAAAACTCATTTGTGGTTTGGTTTGTTTATAAAGGAATTAAATTTGACCTAAATTTTCTTCCGCTCGCAAGGTTCATGAGCCAGCTCGATTCGAGGGTTTGTTGAACCCAACTTGTGAGCTCACTTGTCTTGAGTTAAAAGTTGGCTCGACAATATGGCTAGCGAGTCACTTCAAATGGCTACTTATAAGCGAATCGGTTAATAACTTTTCATTGGCGTGTTGATAATTTATAGATTTGTTAGATTATATATCTCACCACAAATGCTATTTAAGAATTTGAGCATGTGATCAAAATTGTCTCATTAATGACTTAGAATATAAATTATGTATTATAGATTGCTCATATACTAATTACTATTAAATAACATGATATGAACAAATAAAAATTATGAACTAAATGATATGATACCTAAGATGGATGCAATCTCACAAGTTTATTGACGAGTAGAGCTCGTGAGCTCATAATGAGTCGAGCTCGAGTTAAACACAAGCCAGGATTTTAGTAAACAAGCTAAGATCGAGCTCGACTTATTTATTAATGAGACAAGCCCAAACGAGGCCCTCAACTCGGCTCATTTGCAACTCTTGAATTTTCCTCATTTTGTGCAGAGGAGGAACTGGGTTGTCCAGGATGAAGCGCTCTCTTCGATCATCATCAATAATTGGTTCTTTGCCGAGAATCTTCCTGCAAGGATTCATAAAAGCTTCAACTTCTTTATTCAACATGTATCTGCATCTAATCTTCTCTGCTTGCACGGCCGCTCCATGAAGCTTGAAACAGGTTGAGGGATTCTCTAATGCTCCAACAAGTATGATTCCTGACTGTTGGCTGTGATCGAAACATCTGTATTACCACGATGCCTTTTCAAGGAGGACTTGCTTCCACTTTGACAAGGAGAGTCACCGGAAAAAAAATGTTTTCTAGATGTAATTAGTTAGCATAGATTAGGATGGTAATGGAGGAGTTTAGGCGGGTTCACCTAAATCATTCTCATCCCAAATTTCAAAAATCCAAATTCATAAATACGGAGAAATATTTGTATCTCAATCCTCATACCCACGATTTTCAAATACCCCGTAGGTAATATATGTTTTCTATATTCAATATTATAATAGCTAGAATTAATACAATAAAACAAGCTAAACATGTATATGCTTTTTATAAGTACCCTATACCGCCTGGTCCAACCAGGAATACCAGGTATCGGACCCCATACCGGTAAACATTTTTAACGGCATGAAACGGTTGAACCACAATTTTAGTACAAAAATATCAAACTATTGATTTTTCGATATAACATGCGGTTTCATTCCACGGTCCTTGGTTATGCCATCAAAAAGAGCCAATATACCTAAAGTAAATAAATATATAAAACGTTGTTAATTCAATTTAAAAGCATAAAATCCTACAATATTTATTAGTTCATAAGACAATCATTATTTTTAACATCCAATCATTAGATTTTTTGTATATGTATAGAGAGATTTTTTGTGCGACGACTATGACAATATGTATGGGACTGAAAATCTAAAATCATATATGCTTAATCACATTTAATTTTTTACGATTCTACTTGTATACACATCTCATACAAGTCATACCCAATCAATATGGAAATCGAAATTATGTATAAAAAAGTCCGAGTATCGGAAAATTAAATCCGAAGGCAATTTTTGTTTTCTTTTTTCGGGCATGGGAGGCAGGCCGGGGCCCGTGGAGAGGCGTCCTTGATTTGACTGTCCCATCGACCATTACTAGTTTACTACAATACCCCAATGACAATGAGAATCAATAACCCAACAGCAAAACTTGGGCTTCAGCAAGCGCCACGGCAAACGCCATTACACACTCCCTAATTTCGAAACTTCTAGTTATAGTAAACCAAACAACAAAGTGGGTTGTTAGTTGTTACTATTAGGTTAACATTCATTGTTATCGCGCAAGCTTTCGGGAGTCAACAACTCACTCTGATTCTTCGTGGCCTTCTTCCGACCTCGAGTTATTGAAGAAGGGAGAATAAAAATATGAGAATAAGGTACAAGGAACAACATGTTTTATTAGTTATTATGGGACAGTTTATGATGTTTTAGTGGATTGTTTTGTGAAAGGCGGTTTATTTTTTATATTACTCAACGCATACGGAAACTATCAGCGGTCAGACCAGTAAGATCTTCAAACTCGTTCCAATAGAGGTTCGATAAATTTGCTTGATCAACTGAGGATGGATCGAAAGATTTTTCATGATTGAATATGAAACCAAATGAACCATTCCGGTTTTCAACCTCCACTGATTTACTATTTTAAGCACAAAAAAAGAAAAAGAAAAATAGTTTAATGTAAACTAAGAAATCATTTGAAAGTTGGGATTGTTAAATAAATTGTATTCTTGTGAATACATGTTGTTAGATAAAGGGTTAATGCATCCTTACGGTTCATTGAGACACAATTACCAAGGGGAAATATTAATGAAGATACTGATAAACTGATGAGCAACATAAATTTTAAGATACTGATGATAAGTACTTGTTTAGGCCGAAATTAGTAATACTCCTATGGAAGGATTAATTAAGCCAAACAAATGATAAATCCTGTAATTTATGAACAAACCCACCAATAGGAATGGCAATGGGGCGGGTATCTCCATACCCATATTCGCCCCATGGCAGGTCGGGTCCACGTCGGGTAATTTATCACGGGTCGCGGGTCGGGGCAGATCGACCCAATTAGTATGTAATTTATATGGAAAGTATTAGAAATATTCGTTATTTTCATTATAAGACCAAGAAACAAATCATAATATGATAAAATGTAGTTGAGTTATTGGAGATATTGAAGTTTTCACTAATTCACAACTTTATAATAGCTAAAATATAATGTAATATAGGAAAAATTATAAGTAATTTGACTAAGATTACATGTAATTTAGGCACGAACGAGTCGAGAATGAGGCGAGTCAGGGCATGTCGGGTCGATAAGAATACCCATGCCCGCCCCGCCCCGCCTACAGGCCGGGTCAGACCCGCCCAAAATAGATCAAGCAGACCGGATAAATCGGGTCAGGTCAAAATTACCATCCTACCCACCAAACCAAAATTACATATCCATAAACACACGGCTAGAGGAGTAGAGGACTGTCCATATTGTGGGATATCAGAAACACTATAGTAATAATTCTAATTTGGCAAGAGGGTTGTAAGATAATGTTTCAAATTTTTAGTATTTTATTAAAAAAATGTTTAGAATAAATACAACTTATTAGCCAATAGGGATAAAACTTTGTAGGCAAAAAACACTTGTATAGTCAAAACTTTCACCTTTGTACCAATAATAGCCAAATTTGGCGAAATACCACTTATAGCCACTTTTTGAAGATGTTGTAGAACAAATATAGCCATTTCCGTTAGAAACTTTAACAGTGTTAATAACACCGTCAACTTATTTGACGGTTGGCTGACTAGGCGCCAACTAAGCCAACACGTCAGCGCCAACTAAGCAATTATTTACGCGTTAGATATTTTAATTATTTATTATTTATTAAAAATAAAAAAATTTACTTATATTACCATCTGCATCGCGACTTACCTTCTTCCCCAACCCGATTCCGATTTCCTCCCTGACGAATCCCCTTCCCCCCTTTCGATTTTGAAATATGGTTCTTCCCCAAACTTCCTCTCCTCACGAATCCTCTTCCCCCTTTTAATCGATTCGTCGATTATTGCTCTCCATTCCCCATCAATCCTCCTCCACTTCCTAATCTGTTCGGCGAATCGCGACCCTCTGCCGATTCGAGACCCTCTTCATTCCTCACGAATCCCACCCTCTGCCGATTCGCGACTCTGGGATTTCGCGATTTCTCCTGCCCAGAAGTTCAAGCGAGCTGCAGCCATGTCCAAGCGAGCATCTTCTCTCGCGTCTGCTACAGGTGGATTCTGCGTTCGCCAGAAGAAAAGAAACTTCGAAGGATTAGACCAAAGCTCGCCGCCGGTTGGTCAACCCATCGAATACTTGTCATTCTTTGTCGAGGAAGGAGGGGATATGGTAAGCTCAATGAATTGAGGAAAATCGGGACTGGGGGAGGGGTAGATTGATGGTGGAGGAAGGAATAGGATGGGGTATGAGGGTCATCAGCGACACTACGTCGCCTTCGTTAGGTTGATGGTGGAGTAAAACAGGGATGGTTCGAAGAAGAAGAAGATAAGGCAGAGAAGGACGGGTCAAATGATGGGGTTTTATTTTATTTTATTTTTGGTCAGTTTTTTTAATTAATCATTATCCACGTGTATAATTACAGAGGGAAAGGAAAATAAGAGCTCGTCACGTAAGCATCTCCGTTTGTCTAGTCACACTTAACGCTAACACCGTTAAAGAATCAGACGGAAGTCGCTAAAAGTGGTATTTCGCCAAATCTAGCTATTATTGGCACAAACGTGAAAGTTTTGGCTATACAAGTGTATTTTGCCAACTTTGTAACGTTATTACAAATTTGGCTAATTTTTTATTTTAAAAGTTTTGGCTACTATTTTTTTAAAAAAAGTTACTAATAAATTGTATTTACTCTATTAGTAACATAGAATCAACTATAAAAGTTTCTATTGTATCCAACCAAATAACACCAACGAAACAAAACACTCTTCAAAATAAGTAATTACTAATTACTACACATCCTAGTATTTGACTAGTAGGCTACAATGGATTGAATTTTAAATTTTAGCCCATACCATTAGTCTACTACTATTCTAAAACTTGAAACTAAACTTGGGTCACTTTTATTTGTATGCTTCCTAATTGCATAACCCTGTTGTTGGCCCGCTCGACTTATTATTAGCTGTTAGGTAAACCCACCAGACTGAACTAATGGCTAACTACAGACATTTAGTAAATGAATACAGTCGAATTAATACTCACCAAATGTGATACTATTTCACAATTACAATAAGTTTCATTCAACAGAAGTCGGACTAAGTTATCTTCCCCCCAGCTCAACCTTATTTTGTGTATTCGCAAAAGATATTGTTTAGGCTCGTACAATTTGTATTTACAGAAGAAACAATTAAATTTGTGTAGAAGAGTTTGTCAATCTAGACGTATATGTATGTAGAAGTCTACGTAAATGGTTTTTGTGTTAGATTTGACTAACCAATCTTTCCAATCGATGAATTGTCATTATATACGTATCATCAGAGTATATAATGGGAATTCATGCGTTGGTTTTTCTCCATTTTGAATCAAATCCAACCAGAGTGATTTACAAAAAGATAAAATAATTGACATTCACTTTGTTTTTATAGAATGATTAGGTGTTCCGACAATTCTGCTCGATATTTGTTTTCCTCCATCCGAATACAGTTGTCTGCACGAGATTTCAGTATGGAGACTGCATTAATTAAATCAATTGGCATATAGCTAGTTTAACAACGTTCTTAAACTTTGAATTACCCGATCTCATAGCAGTATACAGAAGATTCACGTATGTTTAGTTACTTAGCTGTGATGATGATTAGTGGACGCTTTTGTTGATTAGCTCTTTTGCAAAAGTAATTACTTTTCGCTTGAGGAAAGCATACTTTTCGTGGAAGGCGAAAGGAGGTGGGGAACCTATGCCATGCATGTTAATATTACGGCTTCGGGAAGATCATGGCCGTCCATTTACATTACACGGCGCTACTCTGCTCGCAAACAGAGCCCGCCCTGCCAATCGACGGATGCCACGTTGCCATCATGGTTGATCCCTGAATCTTCCATTTCCAATTCCAAGTGCCACTTTATACATATTCATAAAATAAAACGTGGTTCAGCAAAGAAGATTCATAAAAATAAAATAGAAAATAGCTGAAGAAAATATATGTTTCGAAAATTTTGCCGCAGGAAAAAGCCATCCATTAAAGAAAAATAAAGGGTAAAGGAACCGTCAGCAGCCTCAAAAATATTGCGGGACAAGTGTAAAAGTAAAGACGAATTCAAAGATTAGAAAAGACAGAGCTCCTTTAATTGATGGACTTATCCTGGCTTCAAAGTTCAAAGTGATCAATTTCAATTTTCAAATTTCTACCTAAAAGGAAAAAGTGAATTTCAAATCCTTTTGATTTTAAATCTTGCATACTCATGCTAAAGATTTATACCAAACTCACAAAATTGTACCGTATTGATGAATTTAGGGTAACGTTTTAACTTTGAACGAACTAGTAATGAAATCATATAATGAATGTCTTCGGTTAAATATTTCATTACACAAAATGAGTTATTTGATAAAAAAACATCAGGATTCATAAAAAGATATTTCTCCAATTTTTCTCAAACTCCACAAATACATCATTTCATATTGTTCAATAGCTAAATAGTGTCTTTTTATCAAGTCAACCAATATTTTTCTGGTCTAAACGAATCCGTTAGAGACAATTGACATATATTGTCTCATAGAAATTATGCATCTATACGACTTATAAAAATCCAATAGTATCACGATAACCGAACGAATCGATACATTGAAATCTCAACAATTATCTGAAGCTGTGAAAGATTAGAGTAGTGGCTTGACAGATAGTACTCAGCCGGTCAGTCCGTTCAAAGATACAGAATGAAGAAGGAAGGAAGGAAAGGAAAGAACAATTATAATGAAGAAAAGCGAAGGGAACATTTATTTCCTACATCATCGATCATTTGCTTCCAAGCGAAGTATATATTCTGTATATGTCCTTTCCTAAACATTGCTAATATAATCATGTTCGAAGAGAAGAAAAAGTTACCAAAAAAGCGTCCCTATATACTGATAAACCGAACGAAGCTCACAAAGTAAAAAAAAAAAATTTACAGCACCACCACTGTAAAAATATACCGATTACATCATTTAGCTCTGGAAGTGCAGGGAGAAGGCACATAGGAGCCATTGGACTGTCGGAAATTGAGCTTACAGTTCAAGTGGCACCAGAACCGGATCGAGCCCAGCAGCCCCACGCGCCACCGAGCCCGCGCGTTCCCCTGGAGGTCGAACCGTACCTGGTCTTGCTTCAGCATGACGTCCACGTCCATCGACTGGGCCGGGCTGAGCGGGATGGGCCTGGACACGACGACGAAGTTGAAGTCCACGGTGCTGTTCTTCCTGACGTCGTAGTCCCCGGCCTGAAGGGACGCGATGTGCATCCCTTCGAAGATGAGCCTGAGCTGGAGGTCCGAGAACGACGAGTGGGCTTTCAGGTTGTCGTTCTCAGACCTCACGACTACGCTGACCTGGGTGACCAGGGTGCCAGCGTAGTCGTACTGGAAGAGGTCGAGGTGGGCGTCGATGACGCTAAGGATGGGGACGCGCGGGTGGATGACGAGGTAGCCGATGAAGACGGCGATCCCGCCGAAGATGATGGCGACGGTGAGGATCATGCACAGCAGGGCCGCGCACCACCACAACGGGTGGGTCCGGCGCTGGGCGGTTAGCTTCTTGGGCATTGGAGATGGTGGTGGTTGTGTAATTCTGGCAACATGAAGAAGAAGAAGAGGAGGAGGAGGAGGAAGAAGAAGTGGTTTAAGGAAAGGGGGAAGAGAGGATCGGTGGTGTTTGTGGGTTCTTAGTGGAAAATGGTGGGGAAGGTTTAGGTATCTTCTTTTCCTAGTCCTAAAGCATTTTGGTTTTGGTGTGTGGGTGGATGAACGTTGTGTTTTTGTGGTATGGAATGGAGGTGTCTTTCTTTCTTTCTTTGGTTTAAGTAATAGGTGTTGTTGTGCTTTTTTTTGTGGGGGGCTTACTTTTGCCTTTTTCAACAATGGAGAAATCTTAGTGCCTGCCTGCCTGCACCAACTTTATGTGATTGTGTATAGTTTCTTGTTTAGCTTGGTTGTTGGGGAAGAGGGTACGTCAATATATACCAAACTTGTATTGGTGTTTATCTAAAATGAGTTGTTAATATGAAAGATGTTTTTTCCCCTCCTATTTGAATTGGTGTTTGAAAGCAATTAGATCCGAGTTTATATGATGATTGACAAGAAAGACAGATATCTATGAATTTCGTTATATTTAGTTATACGATATCCTTTATCATTGTTTTTTTTTCATTTGATCTCCTGATGAAGCTCCGCTTGTTTCCGACCGAAAGGAGAGTCTGAATAAAATGCCAACCCCTCTTTACATATAGTTTGTTTGAAAATGCTATCATTAATTGTATTTGTCGAAGCTCGATGACGAAGACATGCCCATCATGTCAAGCCTAGAATTTTATTAAAAAATGTATAGGCTAGGAGGCTAATGTGTCGAAATCTTATGTATCTTTTACAAGGATTGCACTTACATAAGACCTGAAGAGCCATAATCAAGAATTTTCTAAGATTCGATGAACAAGTGGGAGTCGAGCGGGAGAGTATCTCAACAAATTAGGTCTATTTAAGAAATGAATTCTCTACTAAAATTATGTTAACTATAATTTTTTTGAGAGAGTACAACAATATAAGCATGCAAGATATGGTAAAATGAGTTTCCAAACAAAATTGACCAAATAGGATTATAAAATTAAAATTTGTGTCATTGGTGTTTGCTATATATCCATCTATAAATGAAAATGAATTTTAACCACAAGTTACACATGAAGTCGTATGTATATTGAAAAACATTATTTTTGTTGTACGATTGTGAATAAATGAAATACAAACCATTTGAATAGCGACACAAATATGTGAGACAAGGTGGATGTTTTCATGGAATAAATCATTATAATTATAGTGGCTATATTTTAATGCACAAAATCTAAGACTATTAACTAGATCCAAGTAAAATATGTACTCATTTATTAAACAAATTAAGGATTTCACAAATTTCTTTTTTTTTTTAAATTATTAGGGAAAGCAAGTCATTTTTGAATAATGTGTTACAAAAACATATAATAATTTAAATACAAAAATTATATAAAAGAAAAGGAAATTCCAGGAGTACTATAATCACCGACTGCAAAAAAAAGTTCCGGAGTCCCTTCATAAAAAAAAAGTTCCCGAGTCTTCTTACCCTTTCTGGGTTTCCAATTCCGCAACGGAAAAGGAAATCCAAATCCTAGCGGACTTCGGAAAAGTTGTACCTTTATAAACTTCTCAGATCTCACCAAAAGAAATGTCCCACCCCGATTGCCAAGCGAGACTGATTTCGGAAACAATCATGTATCGGTCCCAGTCTCTCGAAAGGAGGAGAAGAACCCTAAAGAAGAAAGCAGAGGAGCTCTCAACCCTCTGCGGGATCGACGTCGCTTACGTCCGCTTCGATCACAACGGCAGAGTCGATACGTGGCCGGAAGACCCAAACAAGGTCAAGAGCATCATTCTCAAATACAGAGAGGTCAATTCTAATGAGAAACTCTCCGCCGGCGGTTCCCCTGCTTCCTCCGACGGCTGCAGCCGCGAAATCCGCGGAACCCCGGAGACTAATCGGGACCTGAAGCCAGACGAGGAATTGTTGGCGTCGCATAGATCGGTGGAAGAGAAGTTGGAGAAGGTGAGAAGGAGAATTATGAATCTAGAAGGCAATGAGAAAAGCCGGAAGAAAAGAAGGCGGCGAATTTACGACCTGCAAACACTGAATTTGATCGATTCGGTGGGTTTGTCGCCGGCGTATTCCGGAACAGAGCATCTTTGTTCCAGCAGTAGCAGGACTAATTCTTCACCAAGTTGTGGTTCGTCGATGATTACTGGAATCACGTCTCCTGACCGAAGCAATTCTCAAATCTCCGACCCCAAATCGGAATGGGGCGCTCTAATTTCGCTGTAAAGCCCTTTTTTCCCCAATTGAATGTGGAAATCGGTATTAACATCAGAAAGGGGTGATTTTGCTGTAACCCTTTCTCTCCTTTAGCATCTGTAGTTCGATCATATTGAAGTATAAATTCTAAAGCTCTGAAATTTCTTTATATGCTGCACTTGGAAATTTCAAATTTGGGAGTCTAGCGTAGGGAACGATAACCCTGTAATAGAGGTTGATTTTTTCCTAGAATCCAAGTAGAGATTGGACCACAGAGTCCATCGCTGGCTCTTGTTCTCCGTCTTCTTCAAGACACGACAGGCCCAATTTCAACAACTCTCAAGCAAGAATGATGGAGGCGGCCCAAAAAGCCAGCCCAGATGGCCCAAGAACGCAGTCATCCTTTTCGTTGAACCGTAGCGGGCTGGACTTTAAACCGTTCCTTCCGTGGTTTTTTTTTCCATAGAAACCCTTACGGATTAACTAGTTAAGCACGAGATAGCCACAATACAACGGCTTCTTTGTGAAATGATAGTCAAAGCAAATAAGAACAATTGAAACGAACACTACAAGAGCCAGAGTAGCATAAGGCATTACGTGCCACAACATGTGCAGCCCGATTGGCTTCTCTAGGAGTAGAGGTGGGCAAACAGTTCGGTAAACCCGAACCGAACTGAACCGAATTAATGCTATTCGGTTCGGAATTCGGAAGGAAAATATGGATAGTTCGGAAATTAGGGTTCTTTCAACCAAAATGAATTTCCGACCGAAAAACCGAAATACTATAATTGCAAGCTCCAAATGATGGATTTTTATGTTTGTAGTTGTTTTTAGACTTAAATATTTGAAATGTTTTATGACTTATGTGTTGAAAAGTTTGGTTTTATCATTGATGATGCATGTAACTGATATTTATTGTTTATATTAGGGGTGAAAAATAATTTTAAAGTGAGAAAATACAAGTAGCTTCACAAATTCGGTTTTGTGTGAAAAATCGAACCGAAACGAATTATAGTTTGGTTTAAACCGACCGATCCGAATTATAACTCGGTTCGAATTCGGTTTGAGGTTTGGGAGAATTCAGAGACCCGGTATTCATAATTTTGGTTCGGTCGAAACCGAACCGACCGAATGCCCACCCCTATCTAGGAGTAAAAGCAACAGAAACTAACGGCAGTTCTTGCAACATATAGATGACTTCTCGTAAGATAGCCTCCACAAGGGCATCCTTGGCATCAGATGCCTTCAAATGTTGTACAACCGCAAGAGCATCACTTGTGATCACGATCGGTCGATCCTGCCACTACCATTGTCGAAGTAATAATAGAGCTTCTCTAATTGCCAACACCTCCATGATCTTAGGATGAAAAAGGCCTGGGAAGAAACCACCCATTGCAAAAACTGGCACATTCTGATCCAAACCCACCACTCCAATTGCGCCATGAGTTGGAGCACTGGTCTCCCCATCAACTGCAATGCGAAAAGTAGATTGAAGCGTTGAATGAGGATATGGCTGAGGTCTGGGTGGCGGCGACTGATTGGGGAGGACAACAATTTGATGAGAGGCATGATGAGATAATAGGTGACGGTACAAGGCTTCTGTGGTTTACTATAATGTTTTAACGAGTGAATTTTTGTTCACAAAAACATTTTCAGAAAATAACGTCTATTAGCATTAAATCATAAAACGGAGAAGAAATGGCGTTGGATCGAAAAAAATAATTTAAACAAGTTTGAGGACTGTCAGTTAGAGTGATCAGTTGGATCATGGATGAACTGTAAAGGGTAAGTCAGTGCCTATATGGTAAAATCTTGTCATACAAGTCTTATCTAATTAACTTGATGATGGTGCTATTTAATCAGCTTCAGTCTGACGATGTAGCACCCCATATGATTAATAAAGTTCATACAGATTCCAATAAAAAAATGACAGAGAAGAGAACATTAGTGCTGTTAAAACAAGGCTGGAATTAACAATAATTTACCAGTTCAGAAAAAGACCACAGAAAGAATAATATATATAGCATTGAATCGATGAAACGAGTACAAAGAAAGATATTATTATCATAGAATATGAATATGTCCGCCCACAACAATATATACCAGGTTAATTATTCAATTCAATAACATTTATAACATGCCGAGAAGGAAAAAATGTCCTGGAAAAAGCATTGATAAAGAGAACAAATGGTGGAGGATAAGTGGCAAAACTACCGATACCTTTTTTTTTATGGCGCAGTAAAACATGAACCCGCCAATATTTCTGATGTAAAAAAAATATTTTAAATACTAAATTGTAATATATATATATATATATATGAGTACACAAATATCTTCTACACAATATATAATAGCAGGAAGGGGAAAATTATACTGGGATTTGAACCATGATCACTTTAAAGAAAAGCAAGGATCATAACCAATCACACTAAGTACATTTTAGTATCATTTTAAATTAAAAATATATAATAGCGAGGTGGAAAAAACCTACCCCCATTTCAAATTTCCTGCTCCAGGAGCGTTTGTAGGAAGGGTTGAATAGGGAGAGTAAATTTTTTTCTCTTTCCTTTGTGGAACGGGCCACCTTACCATACACATGCAGATTTAAACGGGTCCAGGAGTGTCAATTTTTTTATTTAAGCCCTTTTATTTCTCCGTGGTGATAAAATATATATGAAAAGGCAAAAACAATACTCCTTTTTATTGATAAAAAGAAAAATTTAACAATAAACTAATACATGGATTCTAATGGGCTAACCGCTAACCATAAAATAAAAGAGTTGAATGAGCCTGACCTACACGAGATTTGGCCATCAAGTAAAACAAATAAACATCATGAGTTTGCCATTCTAAAACAAGCTATTTTCTCTAGCATAATATATATTATGCTATTATTTTATATCTTAGTGGCTAAAATATAATGTATTTTAAAGTTATTCAATGGTTCAACCTCGACCAACCCAATTAGTCCAATTTTTATCATAATGATTAAATTATAGTGTATTTTATAGGGAATCGTTTGATATTTGTTAGTAAAAAACTAAACAGAAAGATCTATTTGGTTATTTTTAACATTAAAACGATCCTAAACATTTTCAGTTTCCTTTCGAATTTCTATGGTTTTATTCCCGAATCAGTTATGTGCAAATGGCGAATTGCAGTAATCTCTTTTCTTTCACTAATTTTTATTGTCAAATAAAAAGTTTAAAAGTAAAGAATAATTAGAGTTTGGTATGGGTCGGTCAAACATGTTGAATTTCAAGTTTTGCCCCATTTTCATCAAGTCTAATTTATAATCACATGGTTCCCTGATACCCGATAAAAATCTCAATCCAAACCAGTTTGGCAGGTGAGTCCGTGTTTACCACTATTTTTTAGGGATACAGGAACGACGGTTCCTATCCCAAATCGTGTTGTTCGTTCTTGATTTCTTTAGATTTTATCATGACCTCGCAAAAATTAAAAAGCACAATGACGACAAGATGGAAGTTTTATAAAGCAAATTAATCGGCCAACGGGCCGAGTAAAAGCTAGCAACAATTGTGAGATGCTCATTTCCCGAAAACCGACGAGATAGGCGATTTTTTATTCAATTTTTTGGATTTTGGTTCATAAAACTGATTTTTGATCCGTTGCATCATTCATGTATCTTTCCTGCTAAAATTCACTATTTTATCACGTTTTCCAAAAAAAAACCTATACAACAATAAGTTATACACTCCATTACATTATCAAATTTCATAACTCACATTCCTTCCGGCCAACTGGCCGGGGCCCATGCTAGTAATTTTTTTAAAATATGAGTGTGTTAATTTGAGTCGACCCACCTTCTCAATCCACTCTCCAATGAGTCAAATAAGGTAAAAGAACATGAGCGAAACAGGTATTAGTTATATAAGTTAACTCTTTTGAATTGAAGTGCGTCAGAAATGAGTCAGGCCAATTTTCAGCTCTACTAAAAAAACATGATACTCTCCCACATGTTAGTCGAATCAAACTAAAGTTTCCTCTCAATGCAGCCTGTGAGTATACACTATGCACAATTGGAAACAAAAAACTAAAAGCTCGGGTCTCCAAATCATTGATAAAATTAAATAACAAATGGATAAGAAATTAAAACTGGGGAACAACTAAAGGGTCATTAAATGGAAGAAAAAAGGATAAGAAACCTGGAACCACAATGAATACTTGGATAAACCCATCCATCGATGATCTTACCAAATTATATTTGAATCGTACCTAAGCAATAATAATATAACTAATCTGCTCATAGGGGCGGAGCTACAGCAGCCCTCGGGGAGTGTCACGACCTTACTCTCGATCGTGCGGCCCTAGCTCTCAATTCCGTTAGAGCGCTAGGCAGCCTTTCTCTCAAACTCACAAGCAAGCTAAGAACAAGAACAAGACAAAGGATTGGGAGAACTCTCTAGTGTGTATTACTCTCAAAAATTATGGAATGAGTTACAAGTGAGGGAGTTGGCTCCTTATATAGGCCTCTCCACATACAAGGCATCAATGCCCCTCATAATGGTCCCTCTACATCAATACACCCCATAAAGTCCCCCCATAATGCACTCTAATAATGCTACCCATAATGTAGCCCATAAGTGCACCATTAAGCTCTCATTTAGGTGGAGAATCCTAGGAGCATCTCTATGCTACTAGTCTTCTATGCATGCCACATGTGCAGCCGCCTTGTTGTCACCTTGTTGGCGCCATGTCATCTGCCACATGTGACATCCTCCCCCACCTATGCTCGCGACGCCCTCGTCGCGTCCTCTTGATGGAATGCTTCGATCAAGTCCTTGTTCTTCCAAAGCGTGAGCTCTTTCTCCCAAGTTGCTTCACTCTCCGGAAGGCTGCGCCACTTGACTAAGTACTCCACAAAGCTTGGATGTACGTCACGACGAGGAATGACACGACGCGCCATGATTTCTTCGACTTCATGGTCGTGTGTCTTGGTGACGAGTGTTGGTGCGCGCTGCGGCTCCCTTCGCTGCTCGTCCTCCTTGTCTTCGTGGTAAGGTTTGAGTTGGCTCACATGAAAGATCGGATGGATCTCCAAGTGCGTCGGCAGCTCTACCTTGTATACCACATTGCCAATCCTCTTCACGATGGGGAATGGCCCTTCATAGCGGCGAAGCAGTCCCTTGTGCACGTTCTTGAGATGCTTGAAGCGATGAGGATAGAACTTGACCATCACCATGTCTCCCTCTTCAAACTCCAAGTGCCGCCGCTTCTTGTCCGCCCATTTCTTCATCTTCTTACTAGCGCGGGCTAAGTAAGACTTGGCCATCTCCATCTTCTCGTGCCAACCTTTAGCGAACTTGTAGGCCGCAGGACTGTTGCCTCTATACCCCGTTGCCACCGTCGTAGGTGTCAAAGGTTGTTGCCCAGTCGCCAACTCGAATGGACTTGTGTTGGTCGACTCGCTGCGGTGTAAGTTGTAGGAGAACTGTGCCGTGTCCATCAACTTCACCCAATCTCGTTGGTTTGCACTCACGTAGTGCCGCAAGTACACCTCCAACAAGGCATTCACCCGCTCCGTCTGTCCGTCGCTTTGAGGATGAAATGCTGTCGAGAAGTTCAAGTTTGAGCCCATGATCTTGAACAACTCTCGCCAAAATCTGCCCGTGAAGCGCCCATCTCTGTCGCTCACGATGCTGCTAGGAATGCCCCAATACTTGACCACGTTCTTGAAGAATAGTCGTGCCGCATCCTCCGCCGTTAAGTCTTTTGGCCCAGGAATGAACACTCCATACTTCGAGAATCTGTCCACCACGACCATGATGCAACCGCATCCATCGACTTTGGGAAGTCCGATGATGAAGTCCATGCTCACACTCTCCCATGGTCGCTGAGGCGTGGGCAAGGGCTCTAGCAAGCCTGTCGGGCTTCTCTGCTCCATCTTGTCTTGTTGGCACACAAGACAAGTCTTCACATACATCTCCACGTCGTCTCTCATACGCGGCCAGAAATATGCTTCTTCGATGAGCGCTTGCGTTCTCTCGATGCCGGGATGGCCCGCCCATTTGGAATCATGGCACTCCTTCATGATCTCCTTCCTCAAGTTGGCCCATCTTGGCACGAACACCCGCTCTCCCTTGGTCATGATGAGCCCATCCTTCATCCAAAACCGCCGAGTTTTACCTTGCCCAATGTACTCCGCTACGGTTTTGGCGAAGGGGTCATGGCCAAGGCCTTCAACGATCCGCTCCTTCAAAGGAAACGTGGGCTGGCTGATGCTTGCGGCTGCACTCTTGCGGCTAAGAGCATCGGCAACGGAATTCGCCTTGCCTGGATGGTACTCCATGACGAAGTCGAACTCGGCCAAAAAGTCTTGCCACCTTGCTTGCTTAGGGGTGAGCTTCTTCTGCGTCAGAAAGTAGCTCGTTGCCACGTTGTCCGTCTTCACAACGAACTTTGACCCCAATAAGTAGTGCCTCCATGTGCGCAAGCAATGCACCACGGCCGTCATTTCCTTCTCTTGAATGGTGTATCGTCTCTCCGTCTCGCTGAGCTTCCGAATCTCGAAGGCAATGGGATGCCCATCTTGCATCAACACTCCTCCAATCGCGAAGTCGGACGCATCGGTCTGCACTTCGTAGGCCAACGTCGGGTTGGGGAGCACGAGCACGGGCTCCTTCATCACCGCTGCTTTCAAGGCCTCGAATGCTTCCTGGCACCTTTCCGACCAATCCCACGCCTTGTTCTTCTTCAAGAGATCCGTCAAGGGTGCTGCAATGTTGGAGTAGCCCATGATAAACCTCCGATAGTAGTTGGCAAGGCCGAGGAATGACCGCAATTCTGGCACCTTCGTCGGCTACTCCCATTCTTGGATTTCCTGCACCTTCGCTCCATCCATCTTTAATTTGCCTCCACCAATAACGTGTCCCAAGAATGGAACCTATGTGGCGGCAAATGTGCACTTTTCCCTCTTGACGTACAACTCGTTGTCGCGAAGGACTTGGAAGACTTGGCGTAGGTGCTCGGCATGCTCATCGAGTGTTTTGCTATACACGACGATGTCATCCAAGTAGACCACGACAAACCGGTCCAAGAATGGCTCGAACACTTGATTCATCAAAGTGCAAAACGTGGCTGGTGCGTTGGTGAGACCGAATGGCATCACAAGAAACTCGTAAGAGCCATACCTCGTCACACAAGCCGTCTTTGGCTCGTCGCCCTCTGCTATCCGCACTTGATAGTAGCCCGAGCGAAGATCTAGCTTGGTGAACCACATTGCATCTCCAAGCTGGTCGAACAAGTCGGCAATGTTGGGAATCGGCCACTTGTTCTTCACCGTCAACTTGTTGATGGCTCTATAGTCGATGCACATCCACAACGACCCTTCCTTCTTCTTTTGGAACAGCACCGGTGCTCCGAAAGGTGACTTCGATGGCCGCATGTAGCCTGCGTCCACCAAGTCCTTGAGTTGCCTCCGCAATTCTTCTAACTCCGGTGGCGACATGCGGTATGGTGCTCGCGAAGGGGGCTTCGCTCCTGGCTCCAACTCGATCTTGTGGTCCACCTCTCTTCTTGGTGGCAGCTTCTTGGGCAACTCCGATGGCATCACATCATCGAACTCTTCGAGGACACCTTCGATGATGGGAGTTGTGATTCCCGTTGAGCCTCCTTCTTCCTCCATCTTCAAGGACACAAGAAAGGTTGGTTCATTCTTCTTGAACCCCTTCACCACTTGCATGGCCGATAGAGCACTATGGGGACCATCTTCTCTCAAGAGATGAACAGCATGGAACTCCCCTTCCTTCTCCAAGCACATCGTGTTGGAGTTGGGCTTCAAAAGCACTCCCTCCTTGTCGAGGAAGTGGATGCCGAGGATGACTGGGTGATCGTCCATGGTGACGACGGAAAAGTCGATGAGGCCTTCCCACTCGCCAAGCTTCATTGGTACGTTGTGAGCAACTCCATGGATCGGGATGGACTTCGAATTGATCGTCTTGAGCCTCCCTTGCCCCTTATCGTAGGAAATACCCAGCCGGTTTGCCTCCTCGACGCGAAGAAAGTTGTCCGTGGCACCGGTATCCACCAAGGCTTTTGACTCGCCTTGCATGAATTGCGCCAGAACATAGCACCTCCCCCGCTTGCTCTCCTTGACGTCGGTCTTCGCCGCGCCAAGCTTGCGGATCGAGCCAATCTTGGCCTCCGCCGCCTTGGGCTCCTCATCTTGAGCTTCCATGGCTGCTAATCTCGCCTTCCTTGGGCAATCTCGCACTCGATGTGGTCCGTCGCAAAGGAAACAAGTCATGGGTTTTGGCTCGTACTTACCCCCTTTGCTCGAACCTCCTTGGTGTTGTTGAGTGCGAGAACCCTCCTTGAAAGGCTTCTGCTGTTCTCCACCCTTGTTGGGCTTCGAACTCTTCTCTTTGCCGCTGCTCTCTTGTCGTTTGTACTCGACAAAAGACTCCGCCGTGGCCATGGCAGTTGCAAGGTCTTGCACTCCTCGACGTTGAATCTCCATCTTGGCCCATGGTTGCAGCCCATCAAGAAAGCCGTGCATGGCCTCCTTGTCCGTGATGTCCGGGATCTCTAGAAGCAGCTCCGAGAATTCTTTCACGTATTCTCGAACTCCACTCCTCTGGGTGAGTCTTCTCAACTTTGAACGGGCTTCAAACTCCACGTTCTCTGGGTAGAACTGCCTCTTGATTTCTCTCTTGAAATCTTCCCACGTTACCATCACACAAGTACCTCTTTCGACGTCCGCTTCACGTCGCCTCCACCACACCATTGCAACATCAACCAAGTATAGTGGAGCGGTACGGATCTTTACCTCCTCCTCTTGGATGCCGGACGCCTTGAAGTACTGCTCAAGACTCCAAAGGAAGTTCTCTAACTCCCTCGCATTCCATGAACCTCCGAAGCTCTTCGGTCTTGGAATATCAGCACGTGGGACGGATTGCACCGTGGCTGGTCCGCTAGCCATGGCTCTCTTCACGAGAGTGACCTCACTCTTGAGATCTGCAATCTCCTCCTTCACGCCGACCAGCTCAGCCTGGACTTGCTCTTTCACAACTCCAATGGCGTTGTTCAAGGATGTGGTGATGGTGTTGTTGATGAGGGCCACAAGCTCTTCTCGTAAGCCATCATTACCAATCTCCAAGCTCGACAAACGAGCATTCATACCTTGAAAATCGCTTTCGACTCGGGTGAAGTTTGCTCCCAAATCCTCGATGGCACTGATGTCTTCCGCCAACTTCACCTCCACTCTAGAGACACGCCTCTCTAGAGACGTCATAGGATCACGAGTGCTTGACTTGTCACCCTTTGGTTTGGGATTCTTCACGGTATCCCTTCCACGGTGCTTCTCCGCATCGTCGTGGACTTCTGATCCAGCCATCTTTGGTGAGGTTCTTCCTTTCCTTCTGGCTCTAGGTTCAACTTTGCTAGCACAAAGCCGAACCAGGCTCTGATACCACTTGTCACGACCTTACTCTCGATCGTGCGGCCCTAGCTCTCAATTCCGTTAGAGCGCTAGGCAGCCTTTCTCTCAAACTCACAAGTAAGCTAAGAACAAGACAAAGGATTGGGAGAACTCTCTAGTGTGTATTACTCTAAAAAATGATGGAATGAGTTACAAGTGAGGGAGATGGCTCCTTATATAGGCCTCTCCACATACAAGGCATCAATGCCCCTCATAATGGTCCCTCTACATCAATACACCCCATAAAGTCCCCCCATAATTGTTGGGAATGAATACCCTAATTTTTCCTGTTCGGTTTCTAACAATAATGCACTCTAATAATGCTACCCATAATGTAGCCCATAAGTGCACCATTAAGCTCTCATTTAGGTGGAGAATCCTAGGAGCATCTCTATGCTACTAGTCTTCCATGCATGCCACATGTGCAGCCGCCTTGTTGTCACCTTGTTGGCGCCATGTCATCTGCCACATGTGACAGGAGGCCCCGGCCCCCCCAAGAATCTTGAAAGTTACGTATAAAATGTTCAGTATTATACCTATAAACTAAAGGTTACGATTAAATATCTTGACGTGCAATAGAATGACAACGAGCTTGGTTTAGTCTAACGGAAACTGAGGGGATTATTTTCCGAAACTAGCTTCTGTTCCTTGGTTCGATGGTCGTGAGAAGCAAGCTTGTACTTTTTTTCCTTATTTCTGTTTACCCTCCTTTTCTTAAACAATTTTGTTTCTTCGTTAGAATCCATTAAGTGAAATCAATTAATTAAGCACTTCAATAAATCGATTTAGCCATATTAACTTTTATAATTATATTTAATCATAAACTTTAATAAAATAATTTCAATTAAATTCTTCAATTTTAAGGACAGTTCGAGATACATGAGAAGTATTTGTAATTTTATTCCCCTTTAATAACTTCATTCATGATTTAAATTCCTTAATTTCAAATTTATCAATTAAGTTCTTCAATTGTAACTATTAGACTATATAAACAGTAATTGTTTTCTTATGCTAATATTTATATATATATTTGATTTTTAGTTATGAAAATAGAACGCGCGATACAATGACAATATTAAAATATATTATTATATTTATATAATTTTTATTTATATTGAACTTAATGTATTTATTGTTGTGGTTATAATAAAACAAAACTATTTTTTTAGTCTTTTACGATAACGTTTTACGAAAACTTCGGCCCCCCCGATCGTTAAATCCTAGCTCCGCCCCTGGCTCATACTATTGTATGTACCATTTATGTTATTAATCATTATATTAGTAGGTGAATGGTCTGACTAGTCTACGACTAAATAAGATTCCTTAATTCCTAATCATTTTCTAATTGTATGTTGACGACGTACTATAAGTTCGTTGTGCTGGGAAATACTTTCAAATGATAAAAGCCTAACAAAGCATTGGTGGAGGGAGCTATTAAGGGTTACAATTACTTACAACCCCTCAATTTTGTTATTTTATTATCTAAAAATATATATCACCCAAACTTGAGGATATTCAATTCATACAATTTCTGTTATCTTACATAGCAACACCTGGGGAAAAAAAAAAAAAAAGAAACAGAAGCACCTTGCTTCCCAACTTTAGGGGATGTAAATCCGAGAAGCAGAATACCTAGTACGTATCTTCCAAAAACTTGGCAAAAAATTTGAGAAGAAGACAAAAAGAAAAGGAAAACAGATACACCAAAAGAGTAAAGACAAGAGGGGCAAAAAGATAGAAACGCGTGCTCATCACTCTAGGGCATGCAGCAGCCGGCCGGCCGGCCGGGCAGCTTCAGGGAGCAGTCGGCGGGCTGTCGTGACCCACTCCAGGGCTATGGCCTCGATTGGTCGGCCTGAAGGCATCTCCGTCCACTGCTTTCGAACTACTGTACCGGTAACCCAAACCAACCGCGGGGGGTGCTGGCGGCGCCTGCTTCCAACTATTCAGCCCTTCAGCCGGCGGCCGTTGATGTGGCGTTGTTGCAGTAGTAGTACTCGTCGAGATTGTTAGCACAAGGACGAGGAGAAGAAGAGTCGTGGCCAAGCAATATGGCGACGAGCTATTATTAGCGTGACGAAGATGATGCTCAACCCCCATCAAGGAACTTATACTTGATCACTCTCGTGATTTTTGAGGTTTGTTTCAATGATGATGGGATGGATCATGGATGTCGATCTCTTATGTTATATTTAAGGTGTGGGAGAAAAAGAAAAGTGGAATTATAAGGTAGTGGTGGGTGTTTAATGGACCCATATGCGTGAATTTTTTTTTTTGGCGGCACATTGATGGTATTATTGTTTAGTTTATCGTAGGGTTTAGGGGAAGATACATGCAGAAAGGGTAAGTTGGAGAATAACTTCCTGAAATGGCATGTTTAACAATTATCGACAGTTTTTCCAAATCAAAACTAAAGCAGCTAGGCCAGCGCACCCAAGGGTAAAGATCGAAGATATCCTCCACCCACCAAACCCTACCTCACAGTCACAGCTGCTCCAGTTGGTGGTTTTTTATTCCTTAAACAAAACAACTCACAGATCTCGATATGACAGCACCAATTTCTCCTTCTCAACGGCCACTCATTTCAGTGATGGAATGAGTCATCAACGACAAATATTCATGGTTCCGGGTTGAGGTATATATATGTCTGGCCTACGTCGTGGAATATTGAAGTACATCTAATAGTTCAGTGTGAATGCAGATATATACTATACGTATGCTAATCTTTGCTATACATTGTTCAAGTATATATATATACTTGCATTTCACATCGGCCTTGCATTTCACATTACAAGATGATATGACATGGGTTTCTGTAGTTGCAAAACCAATTGCACTAATGTGGACACCCATTATAGATTTGTGATCTTACAACGAATGCAAATGAAATGAATATGAAAGTTAAAGTTGCCTAAAAAGAAGGGGACGAAAGTGAATTGCATTGATGTTGGCATGCTATTTAACCATATATGCAGTTGCAAGTGAATTGGGTTGATGTAGGTGCAATGGTATTAATACGAGTTGAATCACTGAAATTGTTGAGGTGACACTAATAATAATATATATATCGATGGAATTGATTTTCCAATTGTATTGATGTGAATACTCTGATCATTTGTTTTGCGATTTGACATTTGAAATAATTGGTTTTTCTGACAATTTGGAATCTTATGTGAAAACTGGAATTGTGCGGGTGTGGAAATAAAAGGGGGATTCCTATTGCGTGTACTTTCTCTTATGATATCTTTTCACTTTCACTAATTAAGCTCATTATATTGTCGGACTATGAGTTGTATATATATATGTAATCAAAAGGAGGGAAAAGCGATTTCTTCGCAGAAAATAAAAACATAAGAGAATTTCATACGGTCTAATTCTCTGTCCTACAAACAAAATACCCCTCATCAGTATCTATTTTCTCTCATAGTCTCATCTCTCACAGATTGATTATTAATCACTTTCATAGCCAAACTATTCTCTACTTTAAGGAAATCATAGCCCTTCGTTTACTAGTAGCCAATGTATAACTTTATTTAGCCCAATTAGCCATCCAATATCTTTCATGCTTCTCCATGTACGGGTGTAAACTGTCGACATCCAACCTAATCGTACTGAATCGGTGTTGGACCTAAAATTGAATTGATTTAGTTTAGATTATATGAAACTATGAAAAAATGTGAAACGAAATGGGATTTCAACATTGATCGAATCGAAGTAAATGAACCATGCATACATGCTTTTGGCCTGATTCTATTTATTTTTTTATTTTTTGCTTTTGGTCTCGGCCTTTCTCAATTCGATATGATTTTGAACTGAATCAACCGGTTATTGCCTCTACTTCCATGTGAATTGTGATGTTGCTATTGAGTTAGAAGCACTAGATTGTTTGATATAAACTCAGTAGCTAAATTGACAAGCTCTTCGCCCTATCCAGTCTAGTCCCGCCATATTCTATCTTGATCTGTTGAGATATCTATTAGTATTTTTCCACTTGATTTTCTTAAAATTATATTTTTCGGTAATTTAAAATTATATTTTCACTTCAATGAAACTTTGAATAAGCGCAAAATTCTGTCTTCAACTAATTAGACTCAAATTATTCAAATTATTATATTTTTTTTCTTTAGCAAGTACTTTTCCTTTATTTTATCATATAAGAGTTAATATTTTGCATTTTTCCTTCATCTAATCACATAAAGAAATTGGTCGACTTGTCCCGCGTCTCATAACCACAAGAGTACCATGCTTTGTGTGAAACGAGTATGAATATTACGTTCCCATCCCCGTTCCCTGCCCTATTGACATCACTAACACGTGGGCATGATCGCTAACTTCACATATTTTATAATCTATATCACAGGAGCATAAACATATTTATAGATATTTTTTCTTATCCCCCAGCTGCTTCAACTTCTACTTCTTCATGTTCTATCCAAGGAATCCAAGTAAAGGGAGGAAAAAGAACTAAGCATCAGAATCCTTCTTAATTATCTTTTCATAAACCCATACGGTGGAGGGAAAAAGAGAAGATTAGAGTTAAACTAATAATTCACAATCGATTCCGCAGGAGGGTTAATCAAGACCCACTAATTAAGTAGACTATATCTCAGAAACATGTCTCTTCTCTTCTCTTATGTAGTTCTTGCACTTTACAACAAAAGGCGCATTTAATTTGATTCTTCAGGCGGCAGCATTCATTAGGAATCACCATTGAGAAGGATCGATGTTTACCAAAACACTGATGAGGAAATTAAGAGGCTGCTCGTCGGAATCCCATTCTGAATAATATATTCAGTTAGAACTATATACAATATACAAAATATAATACGGCAAAATGCTATTTTTTTTTTTTGGTGGAAATGCTAATTTTAGGGTAAATATAGCAAATTTAAGTTTTAGCCCATCAAATATTAAACATGCACCATTAATTTTGTTCGTCCCGAATTATGGCCTTATAATTTCCTTGCGATGTCTTACCCCTTCCAATATTTAACATGCAATTTTTCTGTGTTTGTTAAATCGTATCATACCGGGTGGTCTAACCGAAAGAAGGGTCTAGTGAAGGCTAAGCATGTATAGGGTTTCATCAATATGAAAAGGTTAAACTACGATTAAATTACAATTTAATCACAAAATATTATATCACTATTATCTTATACAACCTCGGATCAGATAGGATTTTACAATCTTCTGCTTACTGTTGGAATATTGGTTCTCTTTATATATATATGTTCCATTCAAAATTTCCTTTATTATTATTATTATTATATCGCATAATTTGGATGATATGTTGAATTAAACAACAAAATGTGAAAATTCTCAAACACACATATTATTTACCTATATAAATGGAACTTTTTTTAGGTTCAACCAAATGGTTTAACTCGTTGGTATGACCTTCTAAAATATCATTGGGATGTGCCAGTCACAAATTAATGTGTTTTAAGATATCGGTTAATCATTTAGTAGTCATTAAATATTATAGATTTATTAACAAATTCCTCACTTATTTTGTTTTTTAGCCAATGTGTTCCTGAATATTGGACTAACTTACATATATGTCATTTTATTTATCTTCATTGGAGAGTGGAGACTTTAGGAGGCATATATAATAATATTAATAGCTGCAAAATTTTATTAACCAGATGTGTTAAAAGATATAAATTGCAACCTATCCTCTGACATATAGAACAAAGTGGGTACAAAAAACAGTTATACTCCCATCACATACATAATAAGTAATTTACACCTACTTCTACCAATTAGCAACTCATGGCATTGGAGATTGCTTATTCCATGACAAGTAAGATGGATCTCCAAGCTGCCTGCATTCATGTCAACCCCAAACACAACTTAAATCAATTTCAAAACCATATCAGTAAGAACTGAAAAGATAGCTATAGGATCAGATCAACTATTGTAATGCTTTTTTTACCTGGGTCTGAGCACATAGATGAGAATGAAGGTGATTGCCAAGAACAAGCACAAGCCACCAATGGTCAAGTATGCAATCCCAATGAACTCATTCTTCCCACCTATCCAGCTCGTCGTCGAAAGTATCAGCCACTTCTTCCCTCCAAAGCTGTATGTGTTGTAGTTATTCTCCACCACGACTTCGATGTTATCATTCACTTGAAGGTCGCCCTCGATTCTTCCATACAGTTTCCTGAATGTTGGCAGCGCTGCAGTTCGCATCCACACGATCAAGTCCTCTTGGTCGCTCAGCTGCATTGCAGAATCATGTAAAAAAATACAAGAAAAGAGCCACGTCTGCAGCAGGAGTAATGAACAGAGTAACAGAGGGGCTTACTGGTTTGCTTGTCTCTAACTTTGCACCTCCAATGAGACCGCCACTCTGGAAATTCTGAGGGTACACATCAGAACCGAATTTATGGTTTCTGTCGCTGTCCCAAGCGATGTTCTTCTTGTTGACATCTACAACCTTATTCTGAACTACAAATTTGTATGTGTCGTTGAACAGGCTCCAGGCAACAAGGCCACAAGGAACGATCGGGCCCTTGTCGGTGGTGGCCTCAGGGGAGCAACTGTCTGTGTCATCTGCATCTGCTTTGTACTTCAACTGTTTGTCACTGCGACTTTTTACATACCTAAGAGGAATAGCATTTGCGATTTGCACAATTGTTCATGTACAGCTATGGCAAAGTGCAGTTACATTGACAGTAAGTTCAGCATTTACCGACGGTGGTTCTGGTAGAAATTGTCGAGTTGATAGTATATGAAGATTGGACCCTTCATTGCCTTGGAGACCTGAAACGTTGATCCGAATATACAATCTTTACAAAATGGGTTCTTTGTTTAATGTAGAATTTACTGGTAGAGGAACAAATTAAGATCGACTAACAGCCAATTTCGCAGCACAAGTTTTGTTGGAGTCTTTGCTCTGTATGTGTTGTACAGCCGTGGAGCTCTCAGGAAGGCACAGATCGTCGTACCTATGCACAATCTCCACCACCTGCATATTAATGGAGATGAAAGGAATGTGTGGGGAACTTTGAGCTGACAAAAAAAAAAAACAGAGGAATGAAGAGGGTTTGAGCAGAAGTTACATTGTCTGATGCAAACAGGGAAGCAAGGCCAAGAGGGATGAACACAATTGCAATTGCAACAAACGTTGAAATGACCTGTGAACAATTTGTAATCAGGCAAGAAAAGAGCCGTTTAGAAGAAGTAATCATTCATCGGAATGGAAAAAGGGTTTGCTAAGAAGCTGAAAGATTGTCGATCTCGTACCACGGTTGGCGTTACTATGAATTTGCAGGCCGGAAGTTCTTGCTGCGAGAATCTTGAATCTGTAAACAACAAAAAACAAATCAAATGGTCCATGTCAACAAAATCACAAAAACGATTTGGGAATGGAATTGACGAGAGAAATCGATGAACCGGGGCAGGACGAAAGGAGAAAGGGCAAGAAGAAAGAATTTCTTAGAGAAATCGGAAAGTTGATCGGAGAGAATACATTTGGGCCTTTTCGATTGTTTTTTAGTGGCGGAAGAGGAGGACGATGTGCTTGCACCGCCGACGGATCCATGCGTCTCTTTGCCTTCCATCTCCACAACCACAGCGCCTTCCAGCGTGAAGCCTGATCGATGATCCTCTGTGCAGTGCGAGGCAATGCGAAGGAACACAATGCCGCGAAATTCCTACGAGAGATGAATAAAAACTCATTCTGGATCACTATTCACTATGACATTCAACGAGAGAAATAAGATGATAACTCATCGTATGAAATTGTTGAAGATGACAATTACCTGTAAGGGAAAATTTCACAAATGGGAAGTTAGTTTTATTGATTCATGTCAATCGCCAAAGTCGTTCCGATCGAGAAGTGCAATTGATTGTTGCGATAATGCATAATGCTTTGCCTCCGATTCCCTACCTTTCCCCTTCTTTTCGTTCGATTGCTTTGTTTTTTTTTTTTTTTTCATTCAGTCATTTTTGTACAAGAAGTTTGCATGGGGACGTTTTGAAAGATGTTATATTTGGGACAAAAACAAATCATTTAGAGAATTTGACATTTGTCTATATTATCAATGTCCTTCGTGTTACATAGATGGCATACGCCCAATTACATCCCAACTCAAACAAATTATCTTTATTTCAAATATACGTTCCTTCTAGCAAGTTAGTGGTGACCAATCAAACAATACCATTGCTTGAATGAAAATGTTGTAATGTAGTAATTAAATTTAATTTTGCAGTAATAAAAAAAAATATTTCCAATTCATTATTAAAGTCAGCATTCTTTGTTTTTCCCTTAATGGTAAAATACGTTATCATCCCTTTACTAATTACTATCACATATAGATGCTCAAAAACAGTTGTGAACTTAATTGCAATTACATGTCAGATTACCTAAGTTTTTAAATTCATCATCTTTCTAAATCATTCTTCCAGGAAAATGATGCCTATAGAAGTCAGAATGGTTGAGTTGCGAATAGTTGATAAGGTATACAACTCAATTAGAATAGAGAAGATAGCTCTAGCATTACACAATTTGTACTAATTCATGTACACATTACATTCGTGAAAATCTACATATGTGCAGCTATGACTTGCATCCTTTTGAAGCACTCTTTCATCGGTTCTTAGTTAAGGAAATGTTTTGAGTCGCTAAGCTTGGATAACAAGAAAAGGCAACCAGAACATAGAAGCACAGAAGCTGCAAAGTATAGCAGATCAAGAGCGGAGTATATGGAATCCGTCTTACTCTTCTCGAAAAAACCCAATCAGAAGGAGCATCACTATCACGTGGCCGAGCTTGGTTTTCAGCTCCTTCTCAGTCTTCACTTCTAGCCATCTAGGTCGCTCCTACAAGGGAAAGATTAGAGAAGTGATGGCCTTCAGATTATGCAGCATTCCAGAGTCATCTATTTAGGTTCCCAGTTCCGACAACATTTGACTTCTAGGAAATAGATTGATTACCTTCAAGGTGAAAAGGCCAAACATATTTGGCCGATCTGCTATTCTTTCCCCTGGCGACGTCTTTGAAGGGCTGAGATTGCTGATAAAGAGCTCGTGGAGACCCATTCCAAAAACTAGCATCACCGTACCCAAGAGATAGACATCTGGTTACCATCATACGAAATCATAGAGTTGATTATGACCACACCAAGAGATAACAAGTTCACTAGGAGAGGATACGGCGAAAATTCCATCCCGATGCTTTCTGTTACTACTTACTACTGCTTAGCTGCAATCTCTCTTCTCATCAGCAAATTTGCCAAGAGACAAGACTAGCAAATGACAATAACAAAGTAGCACAACCAGATAAAACTCAAGATTCTTTTCTATTCGGGAGTTTAGAACTTATATTAAGAAAATGGCCCTGTTATTAGTGGTAACTCAGGCAAAAACTAAAAATTCGTGATAGGAACACTGAAAAGCGCTAGTCTGGGAAAGGTGAAGAAGGATATAATGGACAAGAGAAAACGAAAATGCAAATATATATACACCAACACAGCCTTCTGACGAGCTAACTCGTTTTCTTCAGCAGCCTATGTAAACCAGCCAAGCAATGCTCGAAGCAGTTGGAACTTAATGAGTCTAATTGATCTTTCACATTCATTATCTTGGATAAAATGCAGAAAGGGCAAGGGTGCAAAGAGATAGGGAAGGAGGCCAAATTTAGTTCTGGTCTCTGGAGCATGGCACCAGCCACAAAAGCTTAGAGGAAGCAAAAATTCATCCACCAAGTTAACACAATCAAGGACTGTTTCTGAGGAATTGTTCTTTAGGTACATAGCAGTTGATTGTTTTCTATGTATCTATGAGAAGCTTAGAGGACCCATCTCGCCAATGGAAAATTAAGAGACAGGTAGATAGAACAGATTGAACAGGTATAATGATAGACAAAAGTACCAGAATAGGAATGAAAATGAACATAAAACCTTGTGAAGATAATTTTTATCAGACAGATATAGTTTCCCATTAATGAGTACTTTGGTCATCAAATTCCAAACTTTTTACCATATCTTCCACCTTAGACTATTATTCAGCAATTTTCGGTGGAAGCACTTCCGCCCTTCAAATCACGGCCAACTTCCGCATTTGCCAGAAACCCCAGAAACAGAATGAGAAACTGAAACTACCACTAGCATAAAAAACAGAACAGAACAGAAGATGCAGTGGGAAAATACAGTCATAATCACAAAGGTTGACAATCCATACTGAGTGAATATGACAGCGTAAACCAATGCACTTTCTCAATATAAGCATATCCTCCAGCTAAACATCACTAGCTTTTCAGAGGTATTCTCTATGCAAGTTTCAGGTAACCAGTAATCGCTTACTTTGTCAGCGGCAAAAAGGCCCATCCACTCAACTGAACCACTAGGATTCTACCAAACTCAAGGGTTTCATTCAAATGATTACGTAGGGCGCACTAATGTATTGAAAATGAACCCACAATCACCATTCTTGATATCAGCAGAGTTGGGCTTGACGAAAGTTATAACGGATTTGGCACTCAATAGAGCTCATAATTACCTTGATGAAGCATAAAAATGATCCGATCAAGGAACCGAAGACAGCAAGAATGGCCAGAAACCGGCATCGATACACGACCTGCGTCAATATTAGATCAAAATTAGAGAGGAGAGAAAGAAACAGAAACCAGAGGGTTCAAACTTCAATCTACTAATTAGATATGCAATTACAAACAAGTTACGTACCTTCTCTATATTTTCCTCCAAGGTCTGCGATCACATGAGATTTCCCGAGAGGTTGGAGACGCTCCATGTTAGGGCAGAGGGAACTGTAGTGACAGAGAATGAGCTCAACGGGCTGGATAAATATGGGGACTGGTTCATGGTGGATGGAAATTAGGAAGTATTGGCATCGATGGAGACGACGCGGCCGTGAATTTGGAACGCACCGGAGCACCGGCGCCGGCTAAATTCTGCGATCACACAAGTTTCAGTTATTGATGCCGCCCGGGTTGAGTTGACTCATCCACGATCCAGCAACTCGGAAGCCCCACTGTGGCACTGTCCATCCTCTCTCTCTCTCTCTCTCTCTCTCTTCTTGTTTAACGTCTGTGTTGTTTCCGTCCATATCTTCTTTTTGTTTCTTTGACAATTTCCTGGGCCTCATGATCTCTTTCTCAAATTTAAGCCGCACGGGCCTGATAAACAGAGTCACAGAATGAGAGCCCAAACAGAAATAAAAATGGCCAGCTCAAAATGGATCTGCTTTGGGCTTGTGGGTATAGTGCTCGCAAGCAACACCTTTTATAATCGCGAGATCGATCCCATAAGGTCCACGACTATCGTTAGATTATGCACTGGATAGTTCATGGTTTTTTAACACAAGATTTTGTGGTCGTTGAATGTTCGTCAGTGTTTTGCTACGACGTTTTATTTCTATCGTATTTACTAACAAAACTATTTTTTATCCAAATCTTTTTCAAATTCTTCCGTAATGCATCAATATATTATCAATTTTTATGTTATCATTAATAATTTTGTAACTCTATTCTTAATTAAAATAATAAAATTTTGCAATGTTGATTTTCATGTGTCTCTTCCATGTCAGTATCTTATTGCAAAGTCAATATTACTAGCAAAATTGATAAATAAAAATTAACATTTAGCTAATTCTTAGTATGTGCCAATCAACCCGATCCCGATGCATGATCCAATCAACACATAACACAATTATCTTATAACTCGATCAAATTAACTCACAAACCAATCAAATTATAACTTGGCCGACCCGCAACTTCGCTCAACATAGACACGATAAAAATATCCTTGTACATTTCACTAATTAAATCATACTTGCACGCTGCACCACTTGTCAGCACTGCATCACCAAAATGAGTTCGATAACATCGACTTTTCTTTCATTTTTCTATGCTCCCAACTCGTGAAGAATGTGCTTAATTGTTTGTAATTCCGTCCGCAATGAGTTCAATCTCCCACAAAAGCATTGCTTAATTGCTTCTCCTTCTTTTCTTTCTTTCTTTCTTTCTTTCTTTCTTTCTTCATGATGAGTAGCTACAAAGGTACTTAATTAATTATTACGTACACAGGCAGCCCGCCACCGGCGGGAAATCATGGCCACAGCTAAGAACTCATAAGTAGTATGGTCATCAAGAAGAAGGGAGTACGACTCTCAATTTTCCCATTATAAGAACTCTGAAACAATTGACACAATTCCAACACAAACAGTCATTAACTCTTTCACTCACTTGTGTTGCTCTGATTCGAAACTCGATCGTTTCTCCTGAGATTGTCGTCGCCGACGAAACAAGAAGTCCTGATCATGGGTGGGCTGCTGGGGAAGCTCAAGAACATGGTGGCGGTAACGACTACGGTGGTTAAACTGATCCCTAAAGTGACAGTTAGTGACCTTGATCTCAAAGGATTAACGTTCGAGCATGTTGAATACCTTGCTAAGCTCACCATAGACAATCCTTACCCAGTCTCGATCCCCGTCACGGAGATCGCCTATCACTTCAAGAGCGACGGAAGGTTTGTTTCTACGTACTAATAATTAAATTCAGTTATTCGACTTCTAGTTTCAGCCGCTGAGTAGTTATTATATTTGCTAGTAAAGTAAGCAATTTCAAGAATATCCATGGCGTGTGTGTTGCAGGGTTATTGTGCATGTGGCGATTCCGGATCCAGGAAGCCTGAAAGCCCACGGCAAGACGGATTTGGATGTGATAGTGAAAGTGCCACACAATGCATTAAGAAGCCTGGTGACCGACGTTTCGAAAGATTGGGATATCGACTATGAGATGGAGCTGAAACTTATTATTGATCTTCCTGTATTTGGTAACATCGACATCCCTCTAACCAACAAGGGCGAGGTCAAGCTCCCTAAGCTCTCTGATGTCATCTTTTCTAAGAAGAGATAATTAGTGCAACGACGTATCTGTTTCATGATGTGGATCTTGATTTGAAATGTTTATGCGTGTGTAAATGTTTTCGGTATTTTGTTCTTATCGGTTGGGTGTGAATTAAATGAAGGACAAAAAATATTCGTGTGTTTGTATATTCTCATATTTTTGTTTGTCGAACGTTTGCTTAAATGTGTATGTTACTTGTTCTTTAAACAAACGAGTCTTTATTTTGATCAAATACCAAATAAATTTTTCTGTTACTTTAGCTGTAAAAAAACTTATCTTTTTTTTTTTTTCGTCCAAAACCACTATATTAATATGGACAATCTACAGCATGTATTTCTGATTAGAAGCCAATAGGAACCTGCTTTTTCTTTAATTTATGTCTAGTTGGGACTTGGGAGTATTGTTAGGGATGGTAATGACTAATGAGTCTACTTATAAAATAATTTGACATTATTATTATTATTATTATTATTATTATTATTATGGGTAATAATAATTCATATGGGTATTAGTTCAATATCAAATAAATTCATTTACTCTTAATGGTTTTGGGTTTGAGTCAATTCATTTGACTCATATAAAAAAGGATAAATTGCAAATTTGATCACTTGAATTACTAGTAAAATTCACGTTAGCCATTAGAATTAATTTATTCCATTCGTAGTCACTCAAATTAGTTCAACAGTTCAAGTTTGGTTACTCTCCGTTAGTCTCCGTTAACTTTGACTGATGTGACACTCAACTCTGATAGTTGACCGTTAACTAAGTGACGTGGCAATTAAATATTAATAAAAAATTAAATTAAAACTTTTCATTTCCAACTCAATTTTACACCCATTTTAAAAATAACAATATCCGTGATACTAATGCCACCCCGATCTACCGTCGTTAAGTACATAGCATTCACAAAAAAACCTGAGAGTAAAATCAAACCAAACCAAATTGAGCAAACACCAGAGTCAGTAAAATCTCATCAGAAAATTGAGCAAAAACTGTTAGAAACCGAACATGAAAAAATTAGGGTTATCGATCTGGCTGAGTCGCGGACTAGGTCGCTCTCTTTAAGACGTTCGCGGCACTGCCTCGTAATGCGCACATCAGACTATCAGCCGGTCGCCTCCAGGATAAAACAGCCACTCTTATTTATTGCTCATCGGTTTTGTGCGGAAAACCGGAGCTCTATGAATTCACTCTCTTTCTCGTGTTTCTGCTCTCTGAGGTGTATTTAGAGGGTCTGGGGCGTCTCCTATTTATAGGAGCAGAAAACCCAGAATATTCCCTCTTTCTTTGGGAATTTGTCATATTTTAATTAGGGAGAGAATTACTCCCATAATTAAAATATAATCTATTAAGATAATTATTCCTAATTATCCCCATAATATTCCTTTTATTAATTATCCATCTTAATTTCGTATTATGGGAAAATACTGGATAATTAATTAGGAATTTCATTATAGCTTTTCAAAGCTATTCATCCCAACAATCCCCCACTTGAATAGTTTGAAACTATCTCTGAGCATCAACAGTTCCATAAGATCGGGCATAAGCTAAGGTATCGCGAAGATTTGAACCTTAGCGTAGTGGTTACACTTCCGATTTCATAAGGGTGACTCGTAGTCTTGAACCCTATCTCAGACAATGTAGCACACCGGATCTTTTCATTGAGTGATATTCTCTCATAGGTCGTGCGTTTATGGCCATGCACGTTATCCCGGTTTAGTGAACGCTCTAGCAACTTTGTGCCTCCAAAGTTACATAGGGAGCGGCCCCACTCCCACATTCACATAGGTGAGTCTATCAGAAGTACCCCCAAAGTAAAGTACTCCACCCCACATAGGGTATAGATCTCATTAAGAGTTGTTAACTCAACCTCCATTGCTTTGGGATTCATGCTTCACTATGCATGAACTTTTCTCAATATTACTCATGACTTGTTATTACCCATTGAACCCGTTTCTTGGGATATCCAGTCTATCGGGTCGGGTTACCATCACTTGTAATCCATGGTTCGGTAGGCATAAGTCTCATACCCTTGGTGGTATTTTGGACTTTCTCTCTAGATAATCCTTTCGTCAAAGGATCAACTAGATTCTGTTAGGACCTTACAAGATCCACCCTCATTGCTCCTATCGTTAGGAGTTCTCTTACAGTACTGTGCTTACGACCAATTTGTCGTCTCTTTTTCGTTCTAGAACCGGTTCCCTTCTTTAGTAATAGCTGCGGTGCTATCACAATGAATCAACTACCGGAGGGATCGGTCTTTCCCATAAGGAAATCTCTAGTAATGACCCTCTCAATCAACTTTTCTTTTTACTAGTCATTGCTAGCTCTATCATTTCTGATTTCTTAGTTGATTGAGCCAGGATCGTTTACTTCTTAGACTTCCAAGACATAGCTTCTCTATCGATGTTAAAACACATCCTCTTGTTGTCTTGGAGTCCTCTATAGGGTGTTCTAATCCGCATCACTATCCCTACCAATACAGCAAGAAACCGTTGATAACATATATCAAGGCCTACTGTTTACTTAAGGTGTCTCATGACCCTTTTCAATAACATTTCAATGCTTCATACTAGGACAATCAATAAGCCTGCCAAGTACCCCCCACTAAATCGGGTCTCATGTTTATCAGCTGCCTCTCGCAGACTGTAAATGCTAGTATATTCTAACTTTCTTACACCGTCTTAGGTGTTCTTTAAATATTTATACTAGCATCATCAAACATGTATGCAGGTGTGCATCTTGTATTTTCCTAGTTATTAGGATCTCTAAGCATAACATTTGTTTCATTCAGATCCTTCACATTCAAAATTCTCAACCATCATGGTTTTTCAATATTGACATTACGAGTCTTTGTACCAAAGATCGACGTGTCATTCATAATGCAAGTGTCATTCTCAAATTTGTACTAAATGCACTTGTCACTTTCACTTTTAAAACCATGAGAGAGAATCTGATTTTTCACGCAATTGTTTTCGAGTCATTTTCAAATCTTACGATGATTTGTCTAACCATAGACTCTAAAAGCATGTTCAGGAATAACAACCCTATAGGTTATCCCATGTATATTTTCCTATCTAAATCACCATTCACAGAAACATGTTTAACAATCCATCTGACGCACAACACTAGCAATCAGAACATACATGGATGTTATTCTACATATGGTGAATAGATAACAAGAAAATGTACAATTTTTCCTTTTTCGCTTAAAGCCTTAGCTCTTAGGCGATCCTTATACTCATAAACTAAACCAATAGGTTTCACTTTTCTTTTAAGAATCCATTTATTACCCATGACTTCATTGCCAAGAGGTAATTCTCAAAGATGCCAAGTCTTGTTGGTTTCTATCGATATATTACCCAAGGCTTTTCAACCAAGAGGTAACTCTACAAGATTTTAAGTCTTATTAGACTCCAATAATTCCATTTCGTTAATAATGGATTCTCCCACAATTCTACATCTTTATGGAAGTTCGAACTTCTAGCAGACTTGTAGGATCTTTCTTTCTTAGGGTGTAAATAACAAATTCATAACCAAAAACCTTAAGAGATTTCAGGTTCATTTGCTTCTTCTGAGTTTAAACTCAGATTTATTCCTCCCACTAGTTCCATTATTTCTAATAGTAGGTAGGATATCACCCCCACTATTTCTTAATATAAATGGAATCTATTGGCATCAATGGTTTTCACAAACTAATGAGTATTTCGTTTCATAGGCTTATGTGTTTTACAGTAACTTACACACTCATATGCTCTTCTAGTGATCATGTCACTGATTCTCTAACGCTACCGCATGTATGCCACATATCGAATAATCAGTGCAATCATAATGCAACTAGGCATTTCAAACTATTTTGAATAACTAGTTAGACAATCAGAGCACTCTAAAGAGCAATAAATTATTTATTGTCTTTTCCATCAAGTTTACTCATATCAACATAAATCAGATCTATTGATTCTGATTCTCTAACCACATATTTTATGGGTCATTTTGCTTGAATACAAAATTTTTATTTATCTCAAGCGTTCGAGAATAATATGGGAATGTTACTTTAGATATTCTAATTCTTTACAAGGACACACACGTCCCAAAAAAGAATCCATCTTAGATCGTCTATCACAGACATGCCTTGGGGCGTTAGTATCCAACAACCATTCTCCAGAGTTACCATTAAGGCTAACCTTTGTCATCACCTAAGCGATTATTATTGCCAAATCCTCTTCTTTAATCAAGTTAACACAATACTATGTTAAACTTGCTCTAACACTTTCGTGTCATATGACCTAGTTTTTCTAAAATTTAATTGAGAAACATAGCGTCATTCTTAGAGAATTGTGTGACAATCTTATGGTTACCACGATGGGTACCATTCTAATTGGCGTGGATCTGGTTCAGCTTGTTGCTCTCATTCTTGAAACCAGGGACGGAGCCAGCGTGTATGAAGGGGGGGCCATGGCCCCCCCTAAACTTTTAAAATAGCATAAAACGTGAGTAATGAACATGAAAAATAATGGCAGTGTAGTGGTTAGGGATGTAGTTTATAGTCCTCTGCCCTAGAGAGGTGGATGTTTCAAATCCCTGCACCAGCATTTTTATTCATGTTTTTTCACGTTGCTGTTTATAATTAAATTCCAGCATTTTTATTCATGTTTTTTCACGTTGCTGTTTATAATTAAATTGGTAAGCATAGACGATTCATGTAGATATATAATTTTACAGTTTTGTTGAAATTTTAAGTGGGTTTTATATAGAAAAACATTTGTGCGATTTAAATAGGGTAAAAGTCACATTTGGTTACTGAGATTACTAAATCGTGTCATTTTTAGTCACTAGAAAAATTTAGGGTAATGTCTATTTTTTATCCAATTTTTTTTCAGATTCTTTTATATTATCCAAACCTATTAAAATACTATTAATTAACCAAATTTTTCGTAATGCATCAAAATATTAGCCATTTTTACGTTATCGTTAATAATTTTGTAACTCTTTTCTTAGTTAAAATACTAAAATTTTGGAATGTTTACCTTCATGTGTCTCTTCCAAGTCAGTATCATGTTGTCAAGTCCATATTGCTAACAAAATTGCTAACTGAAAGTTAACATTTGGCTAATTCTTAGTATTTCGATAGGTTTGGATAATATAAAAGAATCTGAAAAATGTTTAGATAAAAAAAAGACATTACTCAAAAATTTAATATCAATTTTGGTCACTCGAATTATTGAAACAGGTCACATTTTGTCACTCTCATGTTAGTTTCCATCCAACTCCACTAATTATTTCAATAATTCGAGTGACTAAATGTGACATGTTTCAGTAATTCGAGTGACCGGAGTTGGACGGAGGTTAACATGAGAGTTACTAAATGTGACCTGTTTCAGTAATTTGAGTGACCAAAATTGATATTAAAATTTTCTAGTGACTAAAAATGACACGATTTAGTAATCTCAGTGACCAAATGTAGCATTTACCCGATTTTAATGTGATATGTATATGTTTTTACATATATCTTGAAATTTTTTTCCAGTTTTGATAAAATTTTAAGTGGGTTTTATATAAAAAATTTTGAACGATTTAAATGTGATATGTATATGTTTCTACATGTATATTGAAAAAAATTTCGGCCCCCCCTAATCAAGAATCCTGGCTCCGTCCCTGCTTGAAACTTTAATGTTTCACAGCAACCTAAGTGGTTCGTGTAGTACTGATAATAGTACTTCTTATAATATCGTCATTATGGACAGTAAACTCATTCTCTTCCCATATATTCTTCACATATATGCACGCATTTAGACAAAATCATTCTTTCCATAACATAGTATTCAATTTATGCTCTAATCATCGAGATACGTAATATATCTCAATGTCAACTTATTCATGCATCAAATCTCGTTGTCTTTCTAGCATTCACAAGGTGTTTCAATTCCATGCATAAAGACATACAAAATAGATTCTGAAATATCATTCACTAATAACTTATGAGGAAAGTTTTAGTTCTTACCTCTTATCGAGATATCATTGCATTCTGATTTTGCAATGAATAGCAAGCGTGCGGCTTAGCTTCCAATTGATACTCCTTTATTTGAGTTCCGCTTCCGCTGAAGTTCAAACCGTCCACACCTTGGGCCCGCATAGTTCCACTTTAATAGCCCACCATTTTCGTCCTACTCTTTTCAGAATCTAGCATCACTATTCACTACTAATGCCACAGCAAACGGATTTCTATGCCATATGCCTCGCACATATCAATAGGGTTCGAGAGGAGAAACTGTTAGCTTCTTTCACAACCGCCACGAATGTCAAAGCAGCTGAATCTTTTCCTCCCCAGCAGTTCTTCCTTTCCTTGGGACTCCACCAGAATAACTAATTATGCATGTGCAAATAATTGGACAAGAGAAAATCCCTGTATATCTCTCTTTCAATCGTCATGGCCTTGTCACCCGCCGCGTGTGTCCCAGGGAGAGATTGATTTTTGGAAGCTGCCACACGTTGGAGGCATTCCCCTGTATCCCTAATACCAAATTAAAGCTCCTTGTTCCCCTCTTCAATTTCGTTATTTCTTCCTTGGGAATGAATTCCCTTCCAATTAATCAATTCTCCGTGAGCGCAAAAGTCACAGCGTGCTTCTCGGCGCCGCCAACAAACGATCCGGATGCCGGCTCTTTTGCAACGCGGAAGAGTCCGAACTCTGGCTTTTGGCCATTGGTGCTTACTGAAAACTGCTTGCCCTTACGATCAATCAATCCCTCTGTTAGCTTAGCCACCTTCCTCTCTGAGCCGGTGAGTAGAGATCGATGAAGAGAAAGAACGGCGACGACAGCCAGCGGATCTCGATCTGCTGATACCCGGTAGCGGTCGTTTTAGCGCTTCTTTCCTCGGTGTCCTTGCTCTACCTCTCAAAGACGGTGGTATATATATGAAAAATCCACAACCTGCAGAGCTAGCAGACAAAAACCCTACACGAGCAACATATATTTTCTAACTTATATAATTATGCTATGTACTCCCGCAAACATAACTTCCATCCTCTCCTTCGAATTTCATGGCTGCGGATATCGAGGCTTGTGCCGAGCGGCGGGATTGAGATTTGTTCAAGCCAGATTTTGATAATCGATCTGTTCGGTAAACATAGCAGTAACCGAACGTCTTAAAATTGTTAGAAACCGAACAGGAAAAAATTAGGGTTACCGATCTGGCTGAGTCGCGGACTAGGTCGCTCTCTTTAAGACGTTCGCGGCACTGCCTCGTAATGCGCACAGCAGACTATCAGCCGGTCGCCTCCAGGATAAAACAGCCACTCTTATTTATTGCTCATCGGTTTTGTGCGGAAAACCGGAGCTCTATGAATTCACTCTCTTTCTCGTGTTTCTGTTCTCTGAGGTGTATTTAGAGGGTCTGGGGCGTCTCCTATTTATAGGAGCAGAAAACCCAGAATATTCCCTCTTTCTTTGGGAATAAGTCATATTTTAATTAGGGAGATAATTACTCCCATAATTAAAATATAATCTATTAAGATAATTATTCCTAATTATCCCCATAATATTCCTTTTATTAATTATCCATCTTAATTTCGTATTATAGGAAAATACTGGATAATTAATTAGGAATTTCATTATAGCTTTTCAAAGCTATTCATCCCAACAAAAACAGTGAAGGGTCGGGAGAAAAACACTTTGGTGGACTCGCCGGCCGGGCAGCCGTTATCTGTCACCAAACAAAACGTGTCATCAGAAGGAAAAGATACGAAAAGAATACCCTATGTTTCTCTGCCCTGTTTTGCGACCTCTGTTTTTTGGGGGTAAAAAACAGAGCGTCCAAGTTGCGGTAGCAAACGTAGCACCACCAATCACTTGAACTCCAACTTGTTTCTCGCCTCACAAATCACCCAATTACACTTTCACAAAGGAAACATAATAATGATGATAATAAATAAAAGGTTAGGATAAAATAGTTAAAGTAGATAATTCTTACTATTGGATAAAACTGGACACTGGGAAATCCGTGATGCGTGACGGCGGAATCTTACTTTATCGTGGAACTCGAACTCTTCTACGAAACTAATGAAACGCGATAAAGATAGCTAAATTACTCTAATTTACTTTACTCTTATTCATTGCTTAATGAATCCCAAAGAACAACGTACATATTTATAGGAAAACGTAAGAAAACCTAATAGCTAACCCTATCCCACTCTAACAAAGTAACTAATAACTTACTCAACAAGACACAATAAACTAATATGAATATCCCTAAATAATTACAATAACATGACAATTAACTAATAATAATACCCTAGCGCGACTAAGCCCAACTCGGCACCAGGCCCACTGGTGCTATTCTCCATCAATCCGAACCAAGACGGGAGGGGAGGTGAATATCCAGTTATCCAATTATCCAAATACATCGATTTGGTTTCCTTTATAAACTTGGTTGGCTGGCTGCCTCGTCATCGTTATTATCATTAATCCATCCGATATTAAGAAACCATCCAACCAATACACACGAATTCATAGCCGTCAAATGGACTCTGATTAATAGTCTCCGCGTCAGCAACCAATTAGATTCACTATTTCCAGAGAACCAAACTCCTCTGGATTCATGAACCCCAAAACATTTAAATAAATAAATAATGTCCTGCAATTTACAGCTCTCTGCCTCGCATCCCACATGTAGGG